CACTCAAAATGTGTTTGGGGGAAAGAGGGTGCAAAACCAAAAATGTCAAAACAGTGCCTCACGGGAAAGCCGTTGCCTGCTTAGGCTGCGCATCATGTTCGTTAGCAGAGTGCAGCATGCCTAGTACCAACATACAGTCACACAGGCCCAGCACCCAGAGTGCCCTCTGCCACCTGTGAACAGTAGGCTGCGGCCTGGGGCTCAGACTTCCTGCAGAGCCCACTGGTACGTTCCCCAGCACACAAGAGTGTGTGCACAATTTAGTGAACGCACCTCAGCAGCTCAGTGATGCTCTGCCGCCACCTAGACAGCTAACCTTAGAGAGCATGCCAGACACACGGGGCTAGCGGTGCACAGCTCACCACCTGTGAGCCCAGTCCTAGCTTTGAGAGCTGAGGTCAAAGGGCACACACGGCGGTACCACTCTCCCTTGCCACCTTGGGGTAGGCCTTCCATTATTGTGTCTGCGTGTGTGAACCACATACACGTATGGCAGTGCATGCCAGGATCTCTGTAGACTGGAGATCATAGCTTTCTGCTCAAATGGGTGTGGTCACTATTCTCATTTTCATTTTAGGGATTTTTCTGTGAGACTGAGGAAGACTTTAATGATTGGTGTCAACAAGTCAAAAAGGTCTGTAGCTGCCCCTGTCCAAAGCAAAATGAAACTGCTGGGGACCCAGGCAACGAGGTGGCTGGGATAAAGGGAGCCTCTTTGCATGGCCTAGCTAGGAACCCCATTTCCTAGTTGCATGGGGAGTTCTGTCCCTGCCTCACACATGTGGGCAGGCTGAACAGAGCAGCTGCCTCACATTGCTGTTTCTCTTGGCTATGTCAAGGTCAGTTTTGCACATTAACTTTGTGGTAGGGCTCTGGCCCACTCACCTGCCTCCTTTGGCTGTGGAGTGGCAATAAATCATATGCCAGTGGCCACCCCTCCGCCAGCTCCTACCTGTAGTTTTCTCTGTACCTTCTGTAATCATGTCCGCCTGGCGGGTGACAAACCATGACCAGTGCGGCGGGCCTGTGCTGTGGTGACCACTTTGTTAGTCTATGCTGTAACCTTTGGTAGAGAAAACCATTTTCTTGTGAAATTAGACCTCAGCAGACTGGAGGCTATAGTGCCTGTCCAGGCACATCTAACAGCGGTGTCTCACTGACAGCTATCCCTACTTGGTGGTGCCCTGCCCATGTTTGAGCTGGTGGAACAGCAGCCTTCCCATCTGGCCGGCCAGGATGTCCTAAACCTGTCTCTAGGTGAGTACTGAGGCCGCAGAGCCAAGTCTAGACGGGATAGTCTCCTGTCCCCATCTCTCAGTTCATGTAGTCTGTGCCCGCCACCAGCCCTTTGAGTCTTGGTCTTTTTCCTCTTAACCATTAATGTTTATATGAGCCCCAGGTACAAATAGTTGGTTGAGAGGACACTGCAGAGCACCCCAGGCCTCAAACCCTGAGCTTGGCAGCAGCACAGTATGTCTGTATTCTACCAGGGGCTTGTTGACTGAGACATGTTCCCACAGGTTCCCGGGGCACATTTTTGTGATGATGAGGGCCAGTGTAAAAGCCACTAGAGATGAGCAGTCCTGGCTCTTTGGCCTGTGGCTAGCGTTCCTGCTGGAGGCAGCCCAGGTCCTATGGGCCAGCACAGAACAGTTCAGGGACTGGCCTTGGGAGGCGGTGGGTGGAGGTCTGGACAGACCTGCCCATTCCTCAGTAGGTGCAAGGAGTGGGTGCCCTCATCACCCTGGGCTACTGCTGGACCCTTCACTTGTCTGCTGGCAGGAGACAGATGCTGTGCTCTTCTCCTTCATGGAGTTCCCTCCCTCTTTAGGGCCTTGTCACTTGCTCATGGGGCTGGACCCCTTTATGCCTGCAAAGACTCCAGTCAGGAAGGGCCTCTCTTAGCATCCCAGCCGACCCACATCCACACCAGCTCCCAAGGGATGCTAATGTTCTTGTCTTGTTCCTTCCAGATTCTTCTGATGTAGAGAAACTGGAGAGGTTCTTTGACTCTGAAGATGAAGACTTTGAAATCTTAACCCTCTGAAGATCCTGGGGCTGGGGGATGGCCTCTGTGGCCCTCATTGGGGTGCTTCGAGAACCCAGACCTGCCTTGGGCACTCAGTGTCACCGCATTCCATCCACCCAGCCACCCCTGCCGAGTGCTGTGCGCCTGTGCCACCTCTGTCTAGAGGGCCTGCTCTGCTCATGGACCAAGGACCGAGGTGCTTGGAGGCCTTACTGCTTGGAGTCAGACTGCCTAACCCAAACACACCAAGGGCCTGTCCACATAAGAAGGCCTAGTCAGGAAGAGCAGCGGGTCAGGAGTTCTCACTTGACACTGCCAGCCCTGGTCAGCACATCAGCTTTGGTCCTGCTTTCTCCTGGGCACCTGGGTCTGTGGTTTATTTGGCATTAAAGCCCTGTTTGAAGTTGTTTAACAAAGACATCAATTTCTGAGGCACTTCCCAGGTCAGTCTTAGAAGGCCTGCAGGTTGACACGTACAAGAGTAACAGCCACAGCATGGCCTCATACTGCTGAGCAGGGTGAGCTTTGGGCTGTCTCCTCCACCCAGTGTGATAATCAAGGGCTACCTCAGTGGGAGAGCATATGGAAAGAGCTACAGCAAGGCTGCTACTTGCTTTGGAGAGAAAGTATTCCAGTGGGGCATGTGGAAAACCCAAAGACATGAGTGTACCTGGGCACCGTGTGGACACCTGAGCCACAGGGCAGCTGACCAGCTCCAGGGCATCTGGGGCTGTGGTCCTGAGGTTCCCAATTAGGACCTCACGTGTAAGGGGCTGGTGCATTCAAGTCACACCGCCTGCTGCCGTTAGCTTGCTACCCGGCCTCCCTCTGGGAGGAAAGGGACGGGAGCAGAGCTTCTCTTTGCTTGTGACACTGTACCTGCTGGTGGTAGGGTGCATACTGCTACTTGAGCCTTCTTCCATGTTCTTGCCCTCCTGGGTAAGAGAATCTTAGATGGTTTGGGGCCAAAAAGGCTAAAGCGCTATCTCTGGCTTTTAGTGCATAGTAGGCATTTAAACAGCAGGTGGCTCCAGGCACTAGCAGGCCAAGTGTCCAGACCCTCCTTCGCATTCCTGCCACCTCGTAACCCTGGCTTTCTGGGCCTCCAAGCTTTGATGCTCTAGGTCTACTGACTTAGAGAGGCCTTTCCTCCCCCTAGGAGAGAGGACAGGGCATGGCAGTGTGGGATGGCCCTTGCAGGAGCTTTTGCTAAATGCCCTTCCCTGGGAGCCTGCCTGTTAACGGGTGAAACCAGGGCCTATGCCAGATAAGGCAACTCTTAAGTGGCCCACAAAGTAACAAGGGATACATACCCCTGCTCACCAAGTGTTAACATAATTTATTTCCTTGCTCTTTCTCCTACATCTTGTTCCTTAGCTTCAGGTGGGATGGGACTGGGGGGAAGGCCAGAACAGTTTCCATTCCTCTGGGGCTCCACTTGATGAGTCCAGTAGCCATTGTGCTGCTACGACCCAGGTCTTGCTGTTGGCACCAAGGATGGATGTGTGGGACACTACAACCTGAGGGAACTCTCAGGGCTTGAGAAAGGCCTCCTGAGGTCGCTCATTCTTAGTAGTGTAGTTTGCAATTCTTAATGGTAAATAATAAGTTTCAGTAGAAAACAAAGTGTGTGTGTGTTGATTTTTTCCTCCGGTTGTGGTTGGCTATGATTTTATTGTTGACAGGTACTGATCTCCCCATGTTGGACAAGTGGAACTTGCCCTGCCTCTGGCCTAATGTCTATTATTTTCTATCTTATTAATAAAAATGTGGCCCTAAAAGGAAGAAATGCAAGATGCAAAGAGACCATGATTTAGAAAAAAAGGCGCTGGAGAAATGACTCAAGAGTTAGGAGCTCTGACTGTTCTTCCCAAGGACCAAAGTTCAGTTCCCAGCCCCTACACCTGGCAGCTTAAAACTGCTTATGACCCCAGTTCCAATGGATCTAACATCTCTGACCTCTGTGGGCACATACACATAGAAATAGTAAAAGTCTTGTTTAACCCGGGTGGTGGAGGCACACACCTTTATTCCTAGCACTGAGGGGTGGGGTGAGACGGTGGGCAGGATTGTGAGTTCAAGGACAGCCTAGTCTACAGAGTTAGCTACACAGAAGAAAGTCTTGGGTGGGGGTGGGAGTATCCAAAGGTGGTGAAAGGCACCCACTTCATCTTCAAGGCCGGCCTTACCCCAGGTTCTCTCTAGGCAGGCTGTACCTGGCTTTGGCCTGGGGATAGTAAGGATATGCCAGGGCACGAGTACAAGACTGAGAATCCTCTCATCCTGCCTGGTGAGATCTTGGGGAGACAATAATCAGATGACACCTACTGACCCAAGTACGATGGCCCAAGGCAAAGCTTGCCTAGCATTCTCTGCTTTTGTTTTCCCTGTTGGTTTCTCTGTGTGGCTTTAGAGCCTATCCTGGCACTCACTCTGTAGACCAGGCTGGCCTCGAACTCAGATCTGCCTGCCTTTCCCAAGTGCTGGGATTAAAGGCATGCGCCACCAATGTCCGGCCTCTGCTGACTTAAGGCTGCTATGACTACACATTGTGTGACTCACTGCTGGAACTCAAGACTGCTTGTCTCTGCCTCCTGCGTGCTGGGATTAAAGGTGTGCATCATCACACCGGGTAGTACGCAGCATCAAGATACCATGCCATCCATCTAGCCTGTGTCCTTTTGATCCTGCGGGGGAAGGTGCTTCACCTCACCTGAAACACGCTACACATACAGGCTGTATTCTGCCAGGAAATGTCAAATCATCCTGTTTTGGAGGGGACGGTGTGAGAAGGTTCAGGAGCACAATAAACCCAACAAAGCTATCATCAGTGGGTCTAGAAGGGTGAACATCATGCCTCTTGATAAGCCTGGCAATTCCTGAGAACACAGACACAGCATGGAGCCTGGTAACATTGATCAAATCCACAGTAGGCAGACTCATCTCTACAAATTCTTAGGGGAAGCCAATGTTAGGTCCATTTCCAAGTAAATTTTTATTAGTTTCTGTTAAAATAAGTCTCCCAACTAATTATGTTTTTAGTGATCTCAGGAAACTGCCCAGAGTTGCCACTAAAGTTCAGTATGGAAATACCATAACATGTTAACACCTTTAGCATCAAGGAGTGGGCAGAAGAAGATATTGCAGGACTTGTCCCTCTATCGCCAAAATCTCAGGTTGTGAGCGGAGGCTTGGAGTCTCTTCTGCTAAGAATTAGCTCCTGCGGAACAGTGTTGCTGTGAGCCTTCTACCTGCCTCCCAAGGCCCCAAGAATGGTATCTGCAATGGAAGCCGTGGTTTATTTCCATAGCTCCTCCAGTGGACTCTGTGCAGCACTGCGGATGGTGTCCTCAGAGAGTACCCGGATTTCTTCATGGACATCGTCAATGCTTTTGGAAGCATCAATCACCTGTCACCATGGAGACAGTAGAGAAGGGTCATTGCGTCACCTTCCATCTATTCCTGGTGCACGTGGTGACCTCAGGTAAGCCAGCACCTGCCAAAGCCAACCTAAAGCCTTCAGGACCCTCCACCGAGTTTTCTTTGCACCTGGTGTTCTTGGCACATGGCAGCTGGCATACCCAGCACATCTCAGACACTGGGGAAGCAGGATGTGTTAGCTGCCCATCTTGCTCCTAAGCAGACTAAGAAACAGGCTCCATGCCAGGCAGAGGCAGACAGATCTACTTGGACTACACAGTGAATTCCAGAACAGCCAAGGCTGTGTAGAGAGAGAGACCCTGTCTCAAAAACAACAAAAAACCCAGCTGCGCCTTTCTTGAGGGCACTCCCAAGGTATTTGGAGATGCACAGCAGGGCCCCACCACCCTGGTTTGCTTTCTGTCCTCTTGGGAGATGATGAAGCAGCTCTGTTCCTTCAGGACACACATATACGCATGTGCAAACCAGGAGAGTCTGAATACACTTGAATACACGTCAGCATCTCCAAGTCCTGCCTCCTGGAGGGGTCTGGCATGGGGCTGGAAGAATAGCCCAATGGTAGGTGAGACCCTAGATTCTGTAGCAAGCATCATTCCTAGCACCAAAAAATCTGTTGGCAGAGAACCAGAACAGCTTCCCTGAGGTTTCGCAGGTGGGTAACCAGACTAACCACAGCTGCGCCAGTATCCGCAGAGGACAGACTACCACACTACCTGTTTGTAGCCGGGACTCACCTTCCAGTTCAGGTTTTTATCCTTCATGAGCTGCTGGAAACACAGCAGAACCTGCTCCTGGAAAGTCCCAGTCTCGTAGCGCTCGAGACCAAACTCTCCCCGCGCAGCGGCGTCCAGCAATTGTAACTGAAGGAACAGGATCAGGTCAGGCTTGGGAAGGCCCACATCTGGTTGTTTGCACCAATCCAGGGAAAAATTCTGCCAGGAGTTTGAGAAAGCAAAACAGAACAGGTTATGTAATCTTTTGCTTCAAAGTGGGGCTTGGGGACCCTGCTGGAATTAAGAGTAGACAGGGTGGCATCACAGCTCTGTGCCCTCACCACATCCTGGACCCTGTCGCAGAATAGCACATGGCATATGTAGATACCCTGGTGGTACATTCAGCCTAGGAAGTCTGAGATGGCGAACTTGTTCCAGAGACAGGACAGGGTTTTATGCCGTAAATTTTCATCTGTATTCATCCTGATGATAAACACGGAAGGAAACTAGCAATCCCGGAAACCCACTGCACCTGCACGCTTGCCTGCCTGATGCCATGATCATGGAAGCCCTCGGCACGCTAGCCTGCCTACCCGAACTCATGTACATATTCCCACTCACTCATCTCATCACCTTGTGAAAAATGTCGTTTCCAGAAGAAAAGTAGAACTAGAGGCCATCCTATCCCCCAGAAACACTGTAAGCTCAAGAAGTAACCCCAAAGACCTACAGGGCCACACTGTGCCCATCATCTGCCCTGCTTCCTAATATAAACAAAATACTTCATTGAGGAAGGACTCTAACACAGAGTTACTGTGTTACTGTCACTTGACAATCTGTCACCCTCAAGGGCTATCACATGAAGACATTATCAGACCCCATCTGCTTCTTGATGAGGACCCGGCCATCTGATCCTGAGCAAAGGGTGTGAGTGTCCCTGAAGCTGATGACACTCCCGGGAGCTTTATTTGTTGCCAAATATCTGAGGTTTAAAACTAAAAAAAGTGCCGGGCACTGGTGGTGCACACCTTTAATCCCAGCACTCAGGAGGCAGAGGCAGGCGGATCTCTGGGAGTTCAAGGCCAGCCTGGTCTACAAAGTGAGTTCCAGGACAGCCTCCAAAACAATACAGAGAAACCCTGTCTCTAAAAAACAAAACAAAACAAAAACAAATAAACAAAAAACTAAAAAAGCATTGTCAGAAGTGGTGGTGCAGACTTTTTTGGTTTGGTTGGGTTTTTTTTTTGTAGACCAGGCTGGCCTCGGGTGGTGCAGACTTTAATCCTAGTACTGGAGGCAGGGGGATCTCTATGATTCATGGTGAGTCTGGGCTACAGTGACACCTCGTCTTAAACACAAATGGCAGAACTGTGTTTTAGAAAGAAAGAAAAAGGGGCAGTGCAGCTACCGCCGTTACACAAATGAAGCAATGTGGAGGAACCAGAGCCATGGGGGGGGGGGCTCCAGCACCCTCACCATCCTACATCTGGTCAGAGTGAGGCTCTGCCTGACAATCTAACATGGAACCTTTGTGAGAGAAATCTTCCAGATGGGAAACACAACACTGCATGTGAAAAACAAATGCAAGTGCATTTCTTTATTAAAAACTCGCAAGAGAGTTAAAAGAATGCCAGAGCCATCCAATTCCTAGGAGTAACTTGAACAGATACTCATGTGGTCAGAGACTGAAAATGAAGAAAAGTAGATCAGGGCCCACAGCTGGCACCCTGAAACAGACACCACACCGTACTCACCTCCTTGGCACCCGTGAAGGCAACCCCAGAAAAGGCGTATCTATCCAAAACAAGGGTCACACCCTGGTTCAACTTTGCCTTAATCAATGGCCTGAAAAACAGAATCCCAACTTAGAAATTCCACACAATGGCAATTACAGCACAGTGATTTATAGACTTATTTACAAAACTGTCCATCTTCTCTTTAGATGGTGCCAGTGGACACTTGCACCCTCCCTGCTGAGGGAGAGAACCAGCAAAGAGCACAGGACGCACGGGCATGGAGAGCCAGGAGAGGCTGACAACTGTGCCCAAGCCTGATCTTAATTGTAAGAACTGACAAAATCAGGCCGGGCATTGGTGGCGCACGCCTTTAATCCCAGCACTCGGGAGGCAGAGGCAGGCGGATCTTTGTGAGTTCAAGACCAGCCTGGTCTATAAGAGCTAGTTCCAGGACAGCCCCCAAAGCCACAGAGAAACCCTGTCTCGAAAAACAAAAACAAAACAAAAAAAAAGTTTTTGTGTAAGATTTATTTTATGCATGAGTGCTCTAGCTACATGCATGACTTTATGTTGGAAGAGGGCATCAGATCCCATTTCAGAGGGTTGTGAGCCACCATGTCGCTGGTTGGAATTGAACTTAAGACTTAACCACTGGCCATCTTTCCAGCCTCAGTTTTTTGACGTATGGAGCTAGTGAACATAAAAAATGGGAAAAAAAAATCGACCCCAGTGGTAGTGACTCTCGCCTTTAATCCCAGCACTCCCGAGACAGAGGCAGTGACTCTCGCCTTTAATCCCAGCACTCACGAGACAGAGGCAGTGGATCTCATGTACGAGACCAGCCTGATCTAGAGAGCATTTCAGGTCAGCCAAGACTACACAGAAGAACCCCTGTTATGAAAAACAAAACAAACAAAATATCTAAACCCTGGACCTAAATATAAAACAGAAAGTTTCTGTAAAAAGAGAATGAGAGGCTGGACAGTGGTGGTACACGCCTTTGCTCCCAGCACTGGGGAGGCAGAGGCAGGAGGATCTCTGAGTTTAAGGCCAGCCTGCTCTACAAAACTACACTGAGAAACCCTGGAGGGAGGGAGGGAAGGAGGGAGAGGGAGAGGGTGGGGGTTGTGGAGTACGCCTTAATCCCCCAGCACTTGAGAGGCAGAAGCAGGCAGATCTCTTTGAGTTCAGGCCAGCCTGGGTTACACAGAGAAATCCTTTCTTGAAAAACAAAACAAACAAACAAGAGATCCAGGAGATTGTGGTGCACACCTTTAATCCCAGCACTTGGGAGGGCAAATCTCTTCAAGTTGGAGGCCATTCTGGTCTACAAAGCAAGGGCAGGGCCACACAGAGAAGACCTGGATGCCCTTGGGTTTGAAAACACTAAAGATCAAATCCATGCAAGGACTGATACAAAATTAAGAAGCTGTGCTATGCAAGAGGCTATCAAACAAATGAAAATACAAATCCCAGAGTGGGAGAGAGAATGTACAGAACGCATTTCTGACAAATGCAAGCTAAGTATGTGTCCTTAAAATGCAACACAGAAAATAGCAGGCACTTAAGAGTTGAGGGAGGAGGCTTGCCTTTAATTAAAACATGCCCTGGGCTACAGAGGGAACCACCATCTCCAAAAGAAAAAAAAAGTTGGGGGCTAGGAGATGGCTCTGTGGATAACCATGAGGACTTGAGTCTGGCTCCCCAAAACCTAAAAGTAAGCTCAAGGTTCAGTAAGAAATCTTGTCTCAGTTGGGCATGCGGTCACCCTGGGTTACATAAGGTAAGTTCCAGGATAATCAGGGATGTTATACAGAGAAACCCTGTCTCGGAAAAAACAAAAACAAAAACAAAAACCTTAGAAAAGAAAAGGAACCCTTGTCTCAGGGCTGGAAAGATGGCCCAGCAGTTAAATCCACTTGCTGCTCTGGCAGAGGGTTCAGACTTGGTTCCCAGCACCCACATGGCAGCTCACAACTGCCTGTAACTCTAGTTAGAGCTCTGAGCGACAGGCATGCACCAGATGGACAAGCATATGTGTACACAGGTATTCATACTACAGAAAAATGCATATATGTGAACCTGCACATGTGTTCACACATGCTACACACAGAAGTCTGCAAGTGACAAGGGGGAGCAGGAGCGAGTCAGTGTTTACACTTGTTCCCAGCGGTTTGCAGAGAAAAGCAGGTGCACCGAGTGGTCCTCCAGTTCTGTTTTCTTCTCTAAGTAGGAACTCAGGAGCTTGCCGATTTCTGTCGATCTTTCTAGAAAGAGAAAGTTGCAAAAACTACTTAGGTGGGACTTTTCACCTAAAGTATACACTAGTCTGCACAAGTTTTCCACTTGACCTCATAGCTAACTCTAAGCTTTATTAAACCTCCTCACAGGGTTGTACCATCTCTGCAGAAGCCAGGAAGTTTCCCTGAGAGAACGCATTACTGTGCAGAAACCATGTAAATAAGTCTTGATTTCAAAAGTACTCTCGGGCTGGAGAGATGGCTCAGAGATTAAGAGCACTGGCTGCTCTTCCAGAGGACCCAGGATCAATTCCCAGCATCCACATGGCAACTCACAACAGTCTGTAATTCCAGTTTCAGGGGATCTGACACCTTCATACCAATGCAAATACAATAAAGTTATTTTTAAATTGGAAAGTTTGAAGATTAGAATACCCGACAAAGCATTTTCCCAATTCCCTACATATGTGTAGGATCAGGGGTTGGGGTTCCAGGGCACTCGGGTGAAGGCCAGGGGTCAACCTCGTATTCCTTTTCCAGGAATACACCTTGTGTTTTCGGAGAGGGTCTTCTACTGGGACCCGAAGCTCAGTTTTGCCTAGACAGGCCAGCGGGCAAGCAGCAGGAACGAGGCACGTGCCTGTCTCCACCTCTCCAGGGTTAGGATTATAAGCTACTATAGCGTCTTTTTACCTGGAAGACTGAACTCGGGTCCTCAATCCAGTGTCTCTTACCAGCGAACCCATCTCCAGCAGCCCAGAAGTGGCACTGCCCAGTTAGCCGGGCCCTCCCCCATCAACGATCAATCAATCATCAATCAAGAAAACGTCTCGCATGCTTGCCTGCAGGCCAGTCTGGTGGAGCCAATTTTCCCAACTGAGAGTCGCTCTTCCCAAACGACTCTAGCTAGTGGCAAGGTAACCTAAAAACTAGCCAGCACTCCCATGCACAACAGTAAATGTTCTAAAAGTTTTTTTAAAAAACACACACACAAAAAGCGAGGGAGAACTGCCAAGGCCCGCCCACCCGCGCACCGGGGAAACGCAGCAGCTCGGCTTTGTGGCCCGAGGCGCACAGCGCGGTCACCAGCCTCAGGCCCTGCGTGGTCTTGCCGGCACGGTCCACGCCCTCCAGCACGATGAGCGCCCCGCGACGCGACGCCATCGCCACCGCCACCGCGAGCGAGCTCCCGCCAACCTGTCAGGTTCCCGCCAACGTCTGATGCAGCAGAAGGCGGGAGCGCGCAGGTCCCGGCCGCACCGCCTCTTCCGGCTGCAAGCCGAGGTCTAGAACTCGCAGCCTGCGGGGAAGCGCTTCCGGAAGTGGTTCCGGACGTTGCGTAGCCCGTGGCCGGGGTCCCAGCCTCCCGGTGCCCGCCCACTCGCGGAACTTCCGTTCGCAGCGCCCTGCTAGGGCCGCTCTGGCGGGACTGGGGTTTTGCGGGCTCGGGTCACGTGGAGCCGCAGTAACGGGATCCGGTTTTCATGGCCCCGAGCGCGTGGCTGCAGGGTCCCGAGAGTTTCCCATCACTGAGACAGCAAAGGCACGAGCAGCGACTCCCGGGACGTGCCGCAGCGTCGTCAAAGCGCCCGGCAGTGTTGTGGTTCTAGTGTTACTGGGGTTGTGTTGGAAACCCAGGGACAGGAGCCGAGGGGCGGTGGCGCCCGCCTTTAATCCCAGCGCAGGAGGCGGACGCAGGAGGAGCTCTGTGAGTTCGAGGCCTGCCTGGTGTACAGAAGGAGTTCTAGGACAGCCAGGATTACACAGAGAAAACTCTCGAAAATCCAAAAAAAAGAAAGAAAACCCAGGGGCAGACACTGGTGAGAGGAAATGGCCAGAACTGGAAAATTCTCACTTTATTTTTACTTTGTCCCTAGTAGTGTTTTTATAGAAAAGATTAGCGCCAGGAAAAAAAAAATATGCCCAGGAGGCAGGCAAACTTCTTTGAGTTTGAGGCCAGTTAGATCTCCATAGCAAGTTCCAGAACACACAGGTTGTCTCAGTCTCAAATAAAACAACAGCACCCTAGAGGCTGAGGCAGAAGGATCCCGAGTTAAAGGCTAGCGTGGGCTATATTTAAATAAGTCTGATGAGGGAAGTACTCAGAGTGCTTGTCTAACATGAATGAAGTCCTGGATTCATACCCAGCAGAATAAACAGGATATATTGAAAGGCATATTTTATTATCCTGGCACTTGGGAGGTAGAGGAAGGATCAGAAAATCAAGGTCTGGGGCTGGAGAGATGGCTCAGAGGTTAAGAGCACTGACTGCTCTTCCAGAGGTCCTGAGTTCAATTCCCAGCAACCACATGGTGGCTCACAACCATCCGTGATAAGATCTGGTGCCCTCTTCTGGAATGGAGGCAGAACAGTGTATACATAATAAAGCTTTAAAAAAAAAGAAAAGAAAATCAAGGTCTGTGCAAACATCTGAACTGATACGTAGTCAAAAAGGTACTCAGATGCCAGATATGTAAACATGTCCAAAATAAACATTATTAGCAATCACAAATTACAAGATAATTTCACACTTCTACAGTAGCCCAAACCTACAGTTCCAACAATACAGCATGCTGGTGAGGTTTTGATGCAAAGGAAACTGTCAATGCTGATGAGACAACAAAACCATTGTGTATGTAGCTACTTTGGAAGATAGCGTGGCTGGCGGCTGTTTTTCAAGAAACTATTATTAATATACAGCCAATATTTATTCAAAATAGTTTGAAACTATGTCTACAGAAAATTCTGCACAAGAGCGGTTATATCAGCTCTATCCACACTTGCCTAAATATGGAGGCAGCCAAGATGTCCTCCAACAGGTGAACTGATAAACGGGGTAGTTACACAGTGGAATGCTTTTCAAGTTAAAAAAAATAAAAAGAAAGAACTATCAGGCCATAATAGGGCATAGGAAAAACTGAAAGTGCATAATAATAAGTGAAGCCAGTCTAAAAACGATGTACACTGTAAACCTCAACTAAATGGCATTCCTGGGGGAAAAAAGCAAAACTACAGAGATTCTAAAATTTTATTGGTTACAAGAGTATGTGGGAGATGTCCCATACTGTAATAGACCAGAGGAATTTAAGGCAGTGGGATATTTATTCTTCAAGATGCTGTGAGAGGACTACTTTATATGTATTTGTCAGAACTATTAGACCACAGTTAGTCGACTATCGGAAACTATGAATTTTAGTTAATAATGTATCACTATTGTTTCATTAACCGTAACAAAGTTACCATAAGAATGCAAAGATAGCCGGGCGTTGGTGGCGTATGCCTTTAATCCCAGCACTTGGGAGGCAGAGGCAGGCAGATCTCTGTGAGTTCGAGGCCAGCCTGGTCTACAGAGTCAGTTCCAGGACAGGCTCCAAAGCCACGGAGAAACCCTGTCTCAAAAAAAAAAAAAAAAAAAAAAGAATGGAAATATAAGGACCTGGACGCAAAGGGAAGACCACTGGGAGTACAGGTCACTTGGTAGAATGCTTACCAAGCAATCATGAAGCCCTGGGTTTGAGCTCAGACACCGAGTAAACTGGATGGGGCCGCACTTGGATGGGGGCGGCTGGAGGGTCAGCTCAAGGTCATCTTTGGCCACACATTCAGATGGAGGGCAACCCTGGGTCAGGCAGTGTGGTGGCACATGCCCTTAGTCCCAGCAGTGGGGAGGCAGAGGCAGCTGGCGTTTGAGTTCCTAGTCAGCCTAGTCTACTACCTCAGCAAGTTCAAGCACAGCCAGAGCTACATAACAGGGAAGCTCTGTCTCGGAAAACCCCAAGAAGGAAAAAGGAAACCCCCTGTTTTTTGGGGACTCAGTTTAAAAGCACTTGCTGCTTTGGCAGAGGAACTGGGTTGGGTTCTCAGTATCCACATGGAGGCTCGCAACTCTAGTTTCAGGGGATCTGATGCCCTTTTCGGGCTTTCCTGGGCACCGAGCACGCAAGTGATGCCCATATATCCATGTGTGGAAAACACTCCTCATACACATTAAAAAAAAAAAAAAACTAAAAAGCTGTACAACCAACTAACTCAAAGGTTGAGGATGTGAGCGGAGTGCCCTCACTGTTGTTGTCGCCCCAGCTGCCCTTGGCCCTGGGGCTTTTAGGACAGGAACCCCTACTTCTGACAAGCATGAAGTTACAAAGTAGAAGCAGGATTGGCACATGGCACCTAAATTTCACCCATGAAACGTTGCTGGAGATAATTTCCTAATCTTACTGGTTTCTGTGTGGCAGAGAGACACGGTAACTGACAAGCGTGTCCACGATAACACCGGATAAGGCTCAGACACAGGAAACACTTAATCCTACCATCTGACATATTTAAGTAGCACTCCCTTTTGATTTTAGACACAGAATTTCTTTGTGTAGCCTTGGTTGTCCTGAACTCACCCTGTAGACCAGACTAACCTCGAACTCAGAGGTCTGCCTGCCTCGGCTGTGCTGGGATTAAGGCTTGTGCCACCACAGGCCCACTAACTTTCCCTTTTGTTCTTAAAAAAAAAATGTGGGTGGCGCAGGCCTTTAATCCCAGCGCTCGGGAGGCAGAGGCAGGTGGATCTCTGTGAGTTCGAGGCCAGCCTGGTCTACAGAGCAAGTTCCAGGACAGGCTCCAAAACAATACAGAGAAACCCTGTCTCGAAAAACAAAAAAGAAAAAAAAAAAAAGAAGAAAAATTGTGACGAGGTCTAGCTAGTCTGGGCAGCATAGGACTCGCTATGGACTAGGTCAGGCCTTGAACTCATGCAAATACACCTGCTTCTGCCTCGCCAGAGCTGGGCTTAAAGGCACGTGCCACCACACCCGGCTTTTCTAGTTTTTTTTTTTTTTTTGCCGGCATCGAGGTATGCATGGCTTTTTCACCACGTGCAGACGAGACACGCAGGTCCTGTGTGGGCACGCCCCTTCGGGACCACACAGCAACAAAGAGCATCAATGCTAACCAAGGCGTGCGTGTGCGTGCGCGTGTCAGTGTGTTCTAATGTGTGTGTTTTAATGTGTGTGTGTGTGTGTGTGTGTGTGTTTGGGGGGGTCGTCTCCTTCCCGGAGGACCATGCTGCCAGCTTCAAGACACCACACCACAGGCAGCTCGCACCGGCTCTCGGCTCGCCCAGACCCCGGTCTGAACAACGCCGGGGAGCGGCTGGCGTCGGCCGGAAGGTGAAGCTTGGAGCCGGCACACGTGCAGGCGAGGTCGCCGGGCAAGCGCTCGCCAGGCCACCGCCAGGGCCGGGAAGTCGGCAGCAGGAATTCCGCATTGCAAACCACGAGCCGACTCCATCGCCCACCCGGATTCCCTCAGGCAAAGCCCCACAGCGCCGCCTGGCGACCGCAGCCGGCCGGAAGCATGGGGGTGGGCCCTGCCGCGCCCCGCCTCTTCTGCGGCCAATCGGCGCGCGCGGCTCATGAATAGTGAGCGCGCGGCGCCGCCCCGCCCCGAGTCCGCGGCACCGCCCGCTCGCGCAGACCCCGAGCGTGGCCGCAGCGAAGATGGCGACTGCCATGTACTTGGAGCACTATCTGGACAGTAAGCACCCCGGCCGAGCCGCCGCCCTCGCGGGCCTGCGCCGCCGCCGCCCCTGGCCCACCGCGACCCGTGCGGGGCCCCGGGGTGCGGTCGCGGACGGGGACTGGCCACGGGGACAGTGGGGCTCACGGCCGGCCTGAGGCGGGGCCGTGGGTGGAGGGCGTGGGGCGCGGCGCGGGGGTCCCGCCGCCTCCGCCGCGCCAATTCCAGGTGCGTCACGGCGGGGCGGGGCTTGCGGCTCAGCCCGCCCTCTCCGCTTCAGCCACACCCCCGACGCCGACCACGCCCCGAGCCCCTCCCTTGGGGTGCCCGCCCCCTTCCCAACCTGCTGCTTGTGGCGTTGGCGTTTGGAATGGTAGTAGGAAGCTCTAGGCTTGTGGGATGCGTTTCCCCCCCCCCCCCCGAGGGACAAGCCAGCCCAGCAAGGGAGGATGTGTGTACAACGAACGGGTTGATCTTTGACATCCTAGGCATGCCCTCCTCCGTTTATTTATAGATGGTGAGATTGACTCCCGGCGAGAATTGAGAGGATTATTTCCCACTCTTTACGTTGAGGAATTGAGACCCTTTGTAGGGAGGTGGGTCAAACCAGTGGGGCGCCCCTCGGTTTTGACTATCTAGCAGGGCTTGGAAAGTGGGTTTCCAAGGTGATCTGTCTTCATGCTGATGTCCCTCCAGTGTGCGTTCTAATGTGGATCCGAGACGGGTTCATTTCAGTGCTGGCATCGTTGATGGTTGCTGTCTGCTCTCCCCACCTGCCCTGTGCCACCTGTAGGAAGGAACCCCATTTCTCCACAACTTACTGATAGTTGTTGGGGCACACTTTCCCGCTTCTTATTTTTGAAACTATCTTTATTTTATGTACTTTGGTGTTTTCTCTGTATGAGGGCATCGGTGGGAATTGAACCTGGGTCCTCTGGAAGAGCGTCCAACGTTCTTAACCGCTGAGCCATCTCTCCAGCTCTCCCCCCCCCTCTTTCTAAAGTTCGCAGACGATTAAGGCCTGGGAATAAATGTAGATCTGGAGACTGCAGATGAAGGTCCCCCTCTGGGAGGGGAGAGGTCCTCTGGAGAATAGAACGCTGCAGGGCCCCAGGAGTCAGGCTGTGGATGAGAATGTATTGGTGAGCTCAGGAAGTTAACGGCTTAGAGCAGCCAGTTTTCTAAGACGTGGGCCTAAAACACTGGCCCTGTTGGCTGTGGGGAGTGTTTGGAGTCAACTGGAGTCTGCCGAAAGCTTTCGAGTGCAGCCGGCAAGCAGCTCATCTAACCACAGGGACTGGTGAACTGCTCGGTGGCACTGCCTGCTTTTCCAGCGTGCATAGCTGTGTGTGGCTAGAGGTTGAAAAGTTGGGCCCAGCAGAGCGAGCATGTCTCAGGACTGCTTGGTCTACGGTTCCCGGTGCGGTTGGTATCAGGACAAAGCTGGAGAAATCAAGGAGAACTCAGGCTCTGGCTTGTGCTTCAGAGAATGTAGCTCAGGGAGTGATGTGGCTCAGGGGAGGGATCGGCTGTCCTCCCTGTCTGCATACGCTGGGGGCCGGTGCCTGCATCCTCCCTCTGAGCTGCCAGTGCTTCTGAAACTGTCAGCCTGTTGGTACCTGCCCCTAAAATGGGCTTGATCCTTTTAGTCCCCTAACTGGAGGGCCCTGGAGATTTTGTTGTTGATACTGTTTTTTCTAAAGATTTATTTTTTATTTTATGTACATGTGTGTTTTGCCTGCATGTATGTCTGTACCGCGTGTGTGCAGTACCCTCTGAAGTCAGAGAGGGCATCAGATCCCTTAGAACTGGAGTGACAGGTGGCTGTGAGCTTTCACGTAGGTGATGAGAATTGAGCTTGGGTCCTCTGGAAGAGCAGTAAGTGCTCTTAACAGCCAAGCCATGTCTGCATCCCTGGGGGCAGGTTTTTGTCTACTGAGAAGTATAGCACTTTCACATCTCTTTCAGGCATTGAGAACCTTCCCTGTGAACTTCAGAGGAACTTCCAGCTGATGAGAGAGCTGGACCAGAGAACAGAAGGTGGGTATAGCCTAAGCTGGGTGATCAGGGAGAGATCTAGTAAAGGACATGGGATATCAGAGAGCTCTCAAGGGGCCTTGAAGAGCACAGGGTTTGTATCATACAATGTCTTGGAGGCAGCACTGGTGCTTTTTGCCATTGTTGCTTTTTGAGACAAGGTTTCTCTCTGTAGCCCTGGCTGTCCTGGAACTCATTCTGTAGACCATGTTGGCCTCAAAGTTACAGAGATCCATCTGCCTCTGCTTCCCAGAGTGCTGGGACTAAAGGTGTGCACCTCTGTCTGGCTTGATACCTTTTGTTATTGTTGTTTTTTGAGACAAGGCCTTGCTATATAGCCTTGGCTGGCCTGGAACTGGCTGTGTAGACCAGGCTGGTCCCAAACTCATAGGGATCCACCTGTATTGCATCTGCCTCCTGAATGCTGGGATATAAGGTGTGTAGCAGGATGCCCATCTTGGGTACTTATTTATTGATTGATTGATTTTGAGGCAGAGTCTTGTTCTGTAGCCTAGGCTGACCCTGTCCTCCCAGTGTATCTTTCCCTAGTCTCCTGAATGTAGGTGTAGAGAGGAGACTGCTGCTGCTTTGATTGTTTTGGTTTTTCAAGACAGGCTTTCTCTAGCTTTGGAGCCTGTCCTGGAACTCACTCAGGCTGGCATCAACGCATGTGCCACCACCGCCTAGTTGTGCTGGTGTTTTTGACTCTGCTATAGTTTGGTTTCTTTTTTAAATCTGTGTATATGATATGTGTGTACACATATGTGAGGATAGGCACTTGCCATGATGTATGTGTAGGGGTCAGAGAACAGGACAGCCTTCTTTCTACCTGGTTTGAGACAAGGTCTCTTTTCTTGCTCACTGCCGCATATGTCAGGCCAGCTGGATTTTCCAGGCTCTGGTGCCGTCTCCCAGTGAGTGCGCTGGAGTTAAGTTGCACGTGTTGCCGCACTTGGCTTTTAAGGGAAGTCTGGGGGACTTGGACTCCTGTCCTTGTGCCTTCACAGCGATCACTTACCCTCTGAGCTCTCTCCCCAGCCTATTTCCTGGCTTCCTACTCAGATTCTTAGCATAGCTTTTTAACTGTTGACTTTTCAGTTAGAATGTTTGTTGCTTTTCTCCTTTAAAATTTTTCCCTATTTCTGCACTATTTAGAAGTGAGTATTCTGTATCCTAAATGCTTTGGGCCAGGAGTATTTGGGATTTTTATGTTCTTCAGTTTCGGAATGCTCACATCTGATAATGAACTATCTTGGGTGGGTGCAACTCAAGTCTAAACAAAAGAAAATTTGTGTCTGGAAGGCAATTTTATATGATGTCGCTGTTGATTTTTGTGTGCAAATTAATGCTTGCTCTGAACTGCATGTTGATGGCTGTCATCTGAAGACATCCCGCTTCGTGGTTAGCGCAGAGATGCTTGTGGCTCTGCCGTTGGTGTCAGTGGAGGCACACGGGGTGTTTTTGTTCTGTCGTTCACTGCCAGCCTCCGTTGGAGTCACCCGAGGGTTGTGAGTCGCTAGCTAGTTAGTTGTTCCTTGTGCTGCTGACTAGTCTTACTGGGGGGGCGTCTTCATTGTTTCTTGCTTTTGGCTGCTGTGTGCGTTTTCCTAAGTGCTCCTCCCCTGGGTGTGTGACTAAGTTGTACACCAGGAGCCAGGCACATAACCATAATAAAATGGGCTGTTGAGGAGAGTCAGGGCAGCTTGGCTGCCTGCCGGACAACCTGTGCTGGCTCTGTCCTGGGGAAGTTGCGGCACCAGACAGCGCACACTGACGCGCAGTGACGCTCCTGCCAGCGTCGTGGATGCATGTCACTCTGCCTCTGACGTCCACACCTGTCCCCATCAGATAAGAAAGCAGAGATTGACATCCTGGCTGCCGAGTATATCTCCACAGTGAAGACTCTTTCTTCAGAGCAGCGAGTGGAGCACCTGCAGAAGATCCAGAGCGCCTACAACAAGTGCAAAGAGTACAGCGACGACAAGGTGCAGCTGGCCATGCAGACCTACGAGATGGTGAGTGCGGGCCGACGCCAGGCCCTCACCCGCACCCAGGGAGAGGACGCTCTGGGGCCTTCATCTGGGCCTGCTCCCCAGGAGTCTGGTTTTTGGGGCCATTTGGCTTGCTTGTTGGTAGAACCATGGTTAGTTGGTGTTTTCTTGGGTTGCTAGGGAGACGTAATCCAGGTGCATACCAGGCCACCAAGCCTTCGTGTTACTGTGAAGTCACGTTTTCAAGTGTCCCTTTGCAGGTGGATAAACACATCCGGAGGCTTGACGCTGACCTGGCACGTTTTGAGGCTGACCTGAAGGACAGAATGGACGGAAGTGACTTTGAAAGCACTGGATCCCGAAGCTTGAAAAGCAAGTTGGCTGATGTTCTGTTTGCTAGGACTGCAGTTTTGAAGGCTTGCACCTAAGTGTGTTAGGCACATGACGGTACATGAATCTGGGGGAATCTCGCTCCTCTTCGGTCTGTTCTGTGATAACAATGGGGGTTTTTGTCCTTTAGAAGGTCGGAGTCAGAAAGAAAAGAGAAGCTCCCGGGGCCGAGGCAGGAGAACATCAGAAGAGGACACTCCAAAGAAAAAGAAGCATAAAAGCGGGTAAGAGTTTTCCTCCCTCTTCCCAATGGAACACCGTTTTTTGAACAGCAGGGAGAACACACCTCGTGAATCCCCCACTACCTTAGTATTTCACACACACGCCAGGCCAGGCCAGGCTCACAGTGGTCCTTAGTGTCTTCATGTCCTTGGTTGTCAGATCACCAGGGTATTTAAAGTTCTGTTCTGCCAACCTTAACATCTCAAAGGCTGTGTATCTGTTCTGTAAGTCAGCGTCACACTCCCACACTGCTTCTGCCTTGAGGAGAGACTGGCTGTGAACGCAAGCCCTGGTCTCACAGACTCTAGAGCTAAGGGAATTGTCACTCTGCCTTTGTTGGCATGCATACATACATATGTACATACATACATGCATGCATACAATTTAGTTCTTGTATTCAGCACATATCCTAGGTGTACACAGCTACCACATGTAGGTCCTAAAGTGTTACATTGATAGCTGGGCCACCCTTCCTGCCAAATCTAGGGGATGAAGGACCCCTCTCCTTTTGCACATCTCCCAAATTTGGGGGACGGCCTCTAATGTGGTGGATCACCCACCACATTGCTCCAGGGTCTTGCTGCCTGTAAGGTGGTTTTGAACTTTGCATTTCTGACTCATGGGGTGGCTGCTCCTTCCTTCCCCCGAACCCAGAGACGGTGCTACTGGGTTTGCACAGACGTTCTTGCTGCTGTCTTTTTCACTGAATGTTTCACATAGTGTCTTTAGCATGAGGAGCCCAGTGCAGGGCTCTCTAGGTTGGGGGGAGCCAGCACCCACTGGCTGGAGCGTGCCCCCCAAGGCCTCAGGTGTAAGACGGGCATTGTAACTGCTCCGGAAAACTCACAGATGAGGCAGGCTGTTGAGTTATATCTGATGCATGGGAGACAGTCACTGCTTTCAGACCTGTTTGCTGGACTCACGGTAGTGTGACTGGATGGTGACAGTGGTAGGACACCTGCTCTGTATTGACTTTGCCTTGGCCCATTTCCTGTCTGGGCCACTAATCCCAATTTGCATATGTCTTTGAGGGGAGGCTGCTGGAACTAGGCGTGCGCTCAGCCCTTGACATCTGATGTAAGAGCACCCTCCATGGAGTAGGCATCCAGAGAGCCCGAGGCCCTGGAGTCCTGGACTTGCTGTGTCAGGCAGAACCTGGAGTCACACAGCCACTTGCCTGTTGCTGCAGTCTTTGGCCCCAGGCTGTGCTTGGTTGGGTTTTTCATGACCTAGATGAGAAGGACTAGAAATTATATCAGTTATAGCTTGATGGTGGCCGTCATTTTCCATGGGGGACTTGGAGCAGTGCTCAGTCTGGTTCTCGTGGCTCAGTGGCCCCTTGGCCAGAGGACAGGTATCAGACAGAGATACTTGAGAACTGCCAGACCCCATCTGTTTCCCATGGAAGGTCCTTTAAGCTAAGGTCAGGGTTCAGTTCCTTGGCTGCCCCAGGGCCTGGTTTTCTGGCAAGCCAAGGTCTGCCGTGGGAACAAAGGGATCATTTTTTTCTGCAGTTCCTTATCCTAATGCTTGGGTAGACAGCTAGGTCCCTTCTGGACAGCCTGGATTGTTAGGGAAGCCCATGGGTGATCATGTCTGGAAGGAGTTTCCTGGCCACATCTGGGGAGGGGCGCTTACCTAGCCAAGGGCCAAGGCAAGTCAACAAGGGACAGGGACTGCCTGTGGGGTGCCGCTTACTAGGTGGTCTTCCCTGTGGGGTACCACTTACTAGGTGGTCTTCTCAACTTCTCTGCCCTCTCCTGCTTTGTTTTCTGTTTCAGAGACAGGGTCCTAGTATGTACAAGCTGGCCTTGGACTTCCTTTACAGTTCAGGCTCCTCCTGCCTCAGCTTTCCAAGGGCTTCATTAAAGATGGGGGTCCCCACACCTGACTGACTGAACCTGGAGATGCTAAGCTGCAGGTCACGTGACAGCTCAGTGGCTGTGGCTTCCTACGATAGCTGGATGGTGGATCTTCCAGTGGGAAAGTTCCGTGTAGCTGGTAGAATTGAGCAGCAGAGGCAGGCACACTTCTGGGCTTGGCTTGCTGCCTCAGAGGGGCTGCATGGCGTCCATTGACATTGGGCCACACAGAGACCACTGAGGCCAGGGGCCCAGGCAGAGTATCCGGGGTCTTTAAGAAAGTTTCCCACTTGAAGGATTCAGATATGTTTTTGTGATGTTTCTGTGAAAGCATGGGTTACCTGCTAAGGAGAGGCCCTGGTTCCAGAGCCTCCTAGGTGTTGGGCTAGGATGTAGGTGCACTGTACCGACCTGGGGAACACTCGGGAATTCAGAGGCTAGGACCAGGGCTTCCTGTCTGCAGCTGCGTCGTGCTTTGCATTTGGCATAGCCCTCTTGGGAACTGGCAGTATTTATTTATCAATATGCATGCCTAGTCCAGAGGTGAGCAGGATAGTGGTATTACAGTATAGGGATTATACTGCCTAGACTGCCCTGCAGTTTGCACAGTTATCTGAAAAATACGTGTCAAGAGTAAGTTAAGTGTCCCGCTCTACAGTGAAGGGCGGGGCCGGGCTGTGCCAGCAGCAGTTACTGGGGAAGGTGAGGGAGTAGGATTCTCGCTAGGCTGCTGTTCGGAGTCCAGGGGCAGCTTCGGGCATTGGGGAGTCAGCAAGGTAGTGTGTGCCAGGCTGGCTCTTGTTAGCCTGGTTTGCAACGGGGTGAGGTTGATGGGTAGATACTTGGAACCCAAGGCCATGAGGGGCTGCCTAAAGAGGATATTCAATGCTATAAGGAAAACAATATATTTATTTACCAGAGAGAGAGAGTCGCACAAGCTAGGAGTTAGAAGCGTGGCTGGCTTCCAAGAGAAAAAGGGGTTCCTTTTCCTTTCACTTCCTTTTATATCTACCTGTGTCAGTTTACATGTCCCCGCCCTCATGGGCGGATAGCTTTGTGGGGTTTACTCCTACAGCTGCCAGTGTATGTTTGGGGTAGATGCAGAGGATACACTGTCCCTTGTCAAGGGAGGAGGACAGTCCAGTGGCTCCAGCAGAGCTGGTGGGTGCCTCTACCCTTAGGTCAGCCTTGGGTGAGACACAGATAACTCTTCTCAAATCTTAACTATCTGCTGGCAGGGGCCATGTTCTTGTCCCTACCTGGAGATGGCAGCCAACATAGAAGGGACATCCAGGGAAAGTAGCAGCCTTGTCCTGTTGGAGGGGGTCTTTGCCCCCAGGAGACAGCAATGGCTGCTGTTGGGTTTAGTTGCTGGTGAGTGCTGTTAGCAGTTCCAGACCCCACTGCCTGCTTCTGGGGCCTCTGCTGGTTTGAGGGTAGTGTGATTTGCTGTTTGCTGCTGCCCCTAGGTTTGTGGCTGGTACTAGTCCAATAGACTCCTCAGCTGATAATGAGCAAGCACACCATATTGTCCTTACTGTCGATCCTCAGGAGAGACTTGACTGGAGGGTTTTGAGGTTATCCTTGAGAATGGACTCCAGTGACAGGTGTTAGGACTGTTCCCAGGCTCCAGTAAGAAGAAAATCAGAAGCAAGTTTGTGAGTGATGGTTACCCCAGAGTTATTGTAGATCCTTAGAGGAACCTGCTCACATCTTTGGCTCCAGGATAGAGGCGCCCTGGGCTAGGGGTGGAAGGGCTACGGTGTGGCCTCCTGCACCTGCTGCCTTCCCCCTTTGCCCTGTGGTCAGCAGATCCTTTGTCTCCCTTCAGGTCTGAGTTTACTGACAGTATCCTCTCTGTGCACCCCTCTGACGTGCTGGACATGCCTGTGGATCCCAACGAGCCCACGTACTGCCTGTGCCACCAGGTGTCCTACGGGGAGATGATCGGCTGTGACAATCCAGATGTGAGTGGACCTCAGAGGATAATGGGAAAACCTTGTAGAGCTGGGTGGGTGTTCGGCTTTTTGTCTGACATACAGAGTGCACGGCTGTGACCCAGGCGTTCCCTTTGCCTTGCAGTGTCCAATTGAGTGGTTTCACTTCGCCTGTGTGGATCTCACCACGAAGCCCAAAGGAAAGTGGTTAGTATGGGGGTAACTGGCGCTCTGGCTCTTATCGTATGTTTCCATACTTCTGCAACATTGGTCCTGGCTGGGGAGGGCTTGGGGGTGGTGGCAGCAAACTTACGGAGAGAGACAGAGACAGAGACAGAGAGCTATTGCTCAGCTTACCTGGGCATATATAGAGTGTACACTACCGCCCTTTAAAGAGGGGCTCCATACCTCCACCGCAGTGTGTGTCCAGTATGCCAGGCCAGTACTCTGCACTGAACTATGTCCCCTTCATCCCTGGCTCGTGTTGGGCAGAGGTTATTTTAAGTGAAGACGAGGCGAGCAGGGAAAAATGGGGATTATGAAGAACACGAGAAGTAGCTGTATAGTCGGTGTTTTCCCTCCCAGGGATCTCATCTACCAGAGCACAGGCTTGTGCGTTCTTTCTCTATCCTACATCTGGTCAGCAGGAGGCTACCTACTGTTCAAGATGTTCCCAAGGTTTATTTGAATAGAATCCTGCTTTTGTCGACTTGTGTTAAGAATGGATGCATGTTCTTTTTTTTTTTTTTTTTTTTTTTTTGGCTTTTCAAGACAGGGTTTCTCTGTGTGGCTTTACAGCCTGTCCTGGAACTCACTCTGTAGACCAGGCTGGCCTCGAACGCACAGAGATCCGCCTGCCTCTGCCTCCTGAGTGCTGGGATTAAAGGCGTGCGCCACCAACGCCCGGCTGGATGCATGTTCTTAAAATGAAATAGTAGGAACTGGACCTTCCTCCCAGGAGCACTATCTCATGGTAACATTCTCGGCCTGTAGATCAGCCTGTGGCCACTTTCAGAGTCACCTGGGAAAGGAGGGGTGGATGCTGGGTTGCAAGGGCTTTGGTCAGTTGCACTCATGGTATGTGTGGTGTGAATGCGATCTCACCGTAGTAGGCATGCCTACTGTGCGAGGCTCCTTGCCTCATATCTCGGGGCGTTGGTGGTGCACGCCTTTAATCCCGGCACTCAGGAGGCAGAGGCAGGCGGATCTCTGAGCGTTCGAGGCCAGCCTGCTCTACAGAGTGAGTTCCAGGACAGGCTGTAAAGCCACACAGAGAAACCCTGTCTTGAAAAGCCAAATAAAAGAAAAGAACCATATGGCAGGTGCCTTGGCTGTGCCTGTGCCTTGTGGGAGTGGGCTGGGCTGCGGTGGCAGGGGCGTGTGAGAGCCGGGATGTGGCTGGGCTGACGATGGGTGGTGGTTGCTTGGTTAAGGGAAAAGAGGAGGCTTGTACGGGGCAGCAGGATCTGTCTTTGAGTTCAAGTTGGACATGGGGCATCGTTTGCAGGATCTCCAGGCGGAGAGTTGGACAGCACCGGAAAGCTGTTGGGGTGTTACATCAACCTTGGAGCTAGGCCCAAAGCCAGGCAGGAGAACTGGGGAGTGGGGTTCCAGTGTGTGTTTCTTACATTTTTGGTTGTGAGCCCAGCCTTTAACGGCTGAGCCATCTCTCCAGCCCTCCAGTGTGTCTTTCTGTAGCTCACCAGCGTGGGCTTCCTCAGAGGGACACCTAGGCTCTGACTGACACGGTTATGGTTACTGTAGCACAGGTAGGAAGTGATGTCAGCAGCAACGTGTGTCAAGTAGCTGTCTCCCACATGGGACCTTACCAGGTTGTCCCTTTGGATCACGATGGCTGCCGTGTTCTTGAGTGTCCATGAACACTGCCTGAGGCTCTGATACATACTTGACCTGCAGCACCGGGACCTGTGGGACCCATCCAGGCTCCAGGGCCCAGTGCGGCTGTCTCAGGAGCTGGTGTCCACAGGCTTATCAGGCCATGGCTGTACGCAGTCTTCAGCATGTTCAGTCCACGAGCCATTGGTGTAGACTCTGTAGTGGGCACCTCATATTCTGGCTCGCCTTATCTACTTGATCACAAGGCTGTGCTGGTCTGTATCAGTCAGCTATACACAAGTCAGCGCCTCTCACTTGGTGTCACTGTCCTCTGGCTACCCTGGGGATGCAGAATGTTGACCCCGTGTCTTTCTCGTCCCAGGTTCTGTCCGAGGTGTGTTCAGGAGAAGAGGAAGAAGAAGTAGAGAAGAGGGTATTGTGCCAGACTGAAGAGCAAGCTAATATATTTCTTCACTCATGTTGCAATATTATCTTTCATTTTAAAACTACCTTATTCCAACTGATATTTAATAATCCAGTGGCCAGTTGTCATTTTGGATGTTTCCCAAAATAAGAAGCCACTGCACCATTTGCACAGAGCAATCTCACAGGGACTTGCCACGGTGACTGTGCACGCAGGCTCCCCTCTCCTGCAGCCTCCCAGCACGGGAATGGCAACACCACCTGTGGCGAGTGTCACTTTGGGCTGCAGGCCAAGTGCGTGGTGCAGGGTGGACATGTTTTTAACGGCCACTGTTTTGTGACTAGAGGGTCAGCCTTGAGTGTCCGTGTTTTCCAGGACTGCCTTGTGGCACCGTGGAAGCACCGCTGTTGCTCTGTGAGCAAATGTTATCGGGCGCTGTCCCATGCTGTGCTCTGACCCTGACGGAAGCCCAGGGACCGACTCCTGGCCCCTGTACCTCTGATGCGTCTGGGAAGGACTATCGGCTCTTCCCAGGTGGGAGTGCCCTCTGTCTGATGGTACCCCGCCTGTTCAGGGTGAACTTCCGCCCTCCCTGGAGATTCGGCTTCCGTTAGCCTTGGACTGTCAGTTATCATGACCAGCACCGCCCAACAGCGGACAAACAGCCAGGCTGAGCTCCCACCTCTCTGGGAATTCCTGACTTTTTTTTTTACTGTGAAGATGAAATTATTGTAATAGCATGAAGGTCATGGGTCTGTGTGTCTCTGGAGTGAGTCTGTATGCTGTGAGCTGATTTTAGAACTCTGCTGTGTTGCATCCCATAGAGCAGGATCCTATATCCAGGGGGACTACAATTACGTGACATGATTTGTGAATTTGTGTGCCCAATAGCAGTTCTAGAATGAAGGTAGGAAACTAGAGTGTACCCTTTGTTTAACCAGTGTTCACGAAACCAGTGTTGCACTGTCTAATGGAGATATTTGGGGGGGGGGTTTATGCACAGCCTGTTGAGGTGTATCTATGGTGACTCCTTAAGTGTGACAGGATCCTGAGGGTTTCCTTTGACTCTGAATTCCTTGGGCTTGTTTCCCAGTATCTCAGGCTCTCTGACAACTAACTAAGAAAGCCTGTCCCTGGCCTCACTCCAGAAAAAGACCCACGAAACAAGAGCTGGGTTATGCAATTTCCAGTTTAAGGGGAGGTCAGTTTTTCTCTGACGATAGGCACATGGTTTTAAGGTGGTCATGTTTAAGTAGCTAGAGTTCTCTCCCACTTTGTCCGAGGAAAGGAGACAAAGCATGAGGGAGTTGTACTGCCCCACATGGTGCCGTCCCGGTCCTGCTCCTCTGGACAGTGTCCTGCACAGTGTCCCAGCGAGACAGGGAGGCAGGACGGCTTGTGTTTATGCTACTGAGTAAGTTGGTCCCTGTTGACCCTTTCTGGGCAGCAGGTGCCAGGCAGATGGTAGCCGCTGCTAAGCAACAGTGCAAGCTTGTCTCCAGACTGGGAGCAGCTTTGGAGATGGGGTTCCTGTGGGCTCGGGCTTGAGGGGCTGGCTGTCTTCTTGGGAACCCCCTCTCAGGCTTAGATTCAATAGACATATTCAGTTTTTAATTTTGTTTTGTTTGGTTGGTTTTGATTTTTGGAGACAGGGTTTTGCTCCTGGAACTAGTTCTGTATACCAGGCTGGCCTTGAACTCAGAGATTTCTCTGCCTTTGCCTCTGCCTCTTGAGTGCTGTGATTAAAGGTATACACCACCACCGCCAGCTAGACATTTTCATTTCTTAGCCTTTTGTTGTTCTAAAGCTTGTGAGGGTCAGTTGCAGGTTTTATTGTTTTGTTTTTTCCCTTTTTATTTTAAAGACCAGCTCTTATGTACCCTAGGCTTGCTTTGAGCTCACAATGTAGCTGAAGATAGCTTTGATCTTATGATCTTCCTCCCTATATCTCCTAAATGCTAAGGTCACAGGTGTGCACCAACAGATCTGGCTTTGCAATGTTAGGGATCAAACCCAGAACTTTCTTTCTTTTTTCCTTTTTTTGAGACAGGGTTTCTCATTATAGTCCTGGCTGTCCTAGAGCTCGCTCTGTAGTCCAGGCTGTCCTTGAACTCACAGAAATCCACCTTTCTCTTCCTCTCGAGTGCTTTTATCTTTTTTTTTTTTTTCTTCAGTCTTAAGGGTCAGGCCTCATGCATCCTTTAATTTAATTTAATTTATTTATTTATTTGGAGGCAGGGCCTAATTATGTAGCCCAGACTAGCTTTCAACTAGCAGTCACCCTGCCTGAGCCATGAAATACTGGGATTACAGTTGTGTGCCGCCTATAATCTCTGGACCTCTCACAATTTCTGTAAGCACAAGAAGTTTTAAATCAGATCTTGCATGATAATGCCTTAGAAGCTGACTAATACTTTGAGATCCAGCCTGAGGCAGGAGCGTTTCCTAGCAGAGGTGCTGGTTAAACTCCATTTTCTGGCTTCCTGAGGTCATGCTGGCTTCTCTGACTTGCACATGGGTCCATCCTGCATAGTGACTTTTGACTTTTATTTATTTTGCAAATTTCTATGGTTATCTGCTTTTTTTCCCTTTTGACAGCTACAATAATGTCCCCAAAATAAGATGCGTATAGCTTGGAAACAACAGAATCCATGGGTTTGGGGATTTAACTCAGTGGTGGAGTAACTAGCCTACCATATGTGAAGCTCAGCGGAGCATTGGTTGTATGGTGGTGAGCGAAGCCGCCTTCCAGAAGTGATGGTCTCGTTTGACCCTTGGCAACAAAACAGAAAAAGAGAAGCGGGAAGGAAAAATGTGTTGTGTCATGGGCAGGACTCTGATGGAGTGCTTGTCCCTTTGTTACTATCTGTGAGCAAGGAAGGAGGAGGTTCAAGGGAAAGTGTCCCGCCAGTTCTGGCTCGGGTGCTGTAGAAACACAAGCCATGGTGCTGCGCCACTGGGTACCATTCCAAAAGCCTGGCTGTCTCCATCGTTGGACCAGATACTCTTTCATGCCTGCCCATCGAGACCTGGCTCTTGAGCTATCCCTGCTCCTTAGACAGAGTGGGTAGGTAGGGTGACCCCACAGGTCACTGTGGCAGCCAAGGCTGGGTCCTCGCTGTGTCGTTCCCTTATAAGTATGTGAGTGTTCTGCTAAGAGGAGAGGAATCTTATCTCCTGTGCATATTATCAGTAGTCTGAATTTCTCCAGTTTCTTACAGAAGAAGCATGAATTAATAAAAAACTGAGCCCCAATATCTGTGAACATGCTAGAGGTGTGATGGTCCAAGCAATGCTGACCATCTGCCTGTCCAGCAGGGGAGGTCAGTAGGAGCCAGGCCACCGGCTGTGTCTTCCACTCTGCGGTGAAGAGCCATGTGGTGTGAGGGCTTGTGGATGGCTGGGGAGGTGGCCACCTGCGTGCTCCTGTGGATATGGCATCTTGCCTTCTATGCCTCACCTGTCCCCGGAAGGCCTTGGCAGGGATGCTTCAAGCAATAACACTGTCCACAGATCAGCTCCTCCATGGGATATGGTGCCAAGGGTTGGCCCTATTATGAGGTTAGGTCTTCAGGATTTGAAGCCAAACAGTGAGGGGCATTTGTTTCAGGCTTTGAACCCGTTTTCTATGAATGGAGACTGGTCTTCACTGCCGATACCGAGAGGAGCTTTGAAGCAGGGAGGTCTGAGAAGTGTCTTTTCCCTCAGAATGTGGTGTTCATTCTCCGCCACACTCCATCCATCAGGGTGATGCAGCTTTAACATGAATGTCACATTTTATTTTCAAGGAATTATTACCTATGTCCCCTTTGTAAAGGAGAGATACTATTGTAAATCTTTTTATTAAATAATGTAAAGATGTATATCTGTATTTTTGGATCATGGATTGTGGATATATTGTTTAATAAATAAAGTATTTTTGGGAAGAAACATTTGAAAGCAGATCATTTTGTAAACAGGCATGCATGTAGCACCCCTGTGCTGTGTCAGAAGTGGGTGTGTCTCATGTTCATTTATATACTCAAGAGCCCAGGGCGCCACCGAGGGACTTTATGGACCTGAACCCTGCACTTGGCTTTGAGTGGGTACTCAGGGAGGTCAGTGGGCAGTGCCGTGTTTCCAGGCTCCCACGGGAGATGTGTGCATGAATGGGAGTGTTAGGGACTGCTGTATACACTATTACTGAGGGGCGGGGGTGTGTGTCCATGATAGAACACTTGCCTGATGTGCTGTGCCTCCCCTGGAATGGGAACCTACACCCGGGGGATTCTTGAGGTTGTCAGCATCCCTTTGAGGTCTGGTTGGGCAGTTTGCACACACACACACACACACACCCTTAGAATGTTCTGGAGATTTGAAATCAAGGTTGATACCCACTGAGGGCTTTGTCCTTGGGTTGTAGGCAGCTGCCTTCTCACTATACTCACCTAGCTGAGTGGGGCTAGGTAGGAAGGGAATTCTCGTGTCCCTTTTCATTTCTTACTTATTTTTGAGACAGGGACTCACTATGTAGCTCTGGCTGTTCTGGAAGTCTAGTAGACCAAGCTGGATTCAAACTCACAGAGTGCTGGAATTACAGGTGTGAGCCCCCACAGCCAGGTGTGGTGGCACATGCCCATAATCCTAGCACTAGGGAGATCAGTCAAGCTGATTCTGGTCTCTACAGCCAGCCTGGCCTACATAGTGACATACGGGACTTCGAGCATACTAGGCAAGTACTCTACCAACTAAGCTACATCCCCAGGCCCTAGTGTTTCTTTATAGTAGGTCCCAACCTACTATAGCCTTAATTATACACATGTAGGCTATGTCCCCAGTCACATTAGGAACTAGGGTTTCCACATAAGAATCTGGGCATATATATCACTGAGTTGTGTTAGATATCCCTTGGACAGTGCTGAGTTTGAAGACACTGGTCAGCATGGAGACCAGCCTTTTACCCATCATGCTGTGATTTGGGGCCAAGGGCCCTGTGGCAACATGTTGTATTGTCGGTGTACACTCCAGGTATCAGCTGTCACTTCCAGGGTGACTGCTAGGGTTAAGGGAAAGTTCAGTTCTTGGAATGGTGGATAGGTGACTGACTACCGATTTATTTATTTATTTGACTGATTTATTTGTTTTGTTTTTCGAGACAGGGTTTCTCTGTGTAGCCTTGGTTGTCCTGAAATGTGATCTGTAAGACCAGGCTGGTCTAGAATTCACAGAAATCTGCCTGCCTCTGCCTCCTGACTGGTAGGGTTAAAGTATGCACTACTACTGCTAGCACGACTGCTGGTCTTTTTGTTTTTTTGAGATAGCGTTTCCCTGAGTAGTTCTGGCTCTCCTGGAATTCACTATGTAGTGTCCAGGCTGGCCTTGAACTCAGAGATACACCTGCCTCTGCCTCCCAAGTGCTTGGATTAGAGGTGTGCACCACTACCACCTGACTTTCTTTTTACATGTATGAGTGTTATGCCTACATGCATGTCTATGTACCATGTGTGTGCCTGGTACCCAGAATGGGCAGAAGAAGCCATCAGATACTCTGAGACTGCAGTTGCAGATGGTGACGAGCTGCCATGCATGTGCTAGGAAGTGAACCCCAGGCTTCTGGGAGAACAGCCAGTGCCAGTAACCGCTGAGCTGTGGGAACACCAGACCTTGAGCAGAGACCCACTTCCCCTTCTGCCTCTGCCTCCTTCAGCAAATCCTACCGGCGTGCGCCACCACAACCGGCCCGGCAGCATTTTGGGTAGCCACTATGGAGAACCGCCCCCAGCTTACATTAAAGATAGAAGGCAAGTCCTTTAGGGGCGTCTTAGATTCTGGGGCAGATTTCTCTGTCCTCTTAGATAAATTCTGGCCCCCCGCCTGGCCGAAAGAGGAAGGGACAGTGACCCTCCAGGGAATAGGACAGGCTGTGCCCCAAAAAAGCCTCAGAATCTTAAAGTGGCAAGACTCTGAAGGCCACACAGGGCTTTTCCAGCCATATGTTTTGCCTGGCCTCCCTATTAACCTCTGGGGACGGGACCTCATGCAAGAAATGGGAGTGATCCTCACCACCCAGGAACCCAAGTCCAAAAGCAGGGGCCCCCAGATGACGCAAGGGAGGGGCTGGAGTTGTTCTTTTACATAGATTTCAATTAAGGAAGCTTCATTGCAACAGACTAATCATGACCTAGGGAAAAAGGATGACTGAAAGATGCATGTATGTTCTGAATGTATGGTGTGGCCACACCGGTATGTATGAAATGTGATTGTGAATGCGTGAGTGTAAACTGCTTATATGCTTAAAAGGATACTTAAATCCCTTCAAAAATAGTTAAGAAGCTACCTAGATTGCTTTAAATATAGCCAAAAGGAACATTCAGCCAGTCTGTTAATGTTTTAACAGAAAAATTTAAGATACAAATGAGGCCTTGTCAGCTAGTGAGAGCTCTACAGGTTAGATTTGGAAAGACTACTCACAGACTTCCAATAATTTTCAAAAGTTATTTGGACACAGTATAGTTTACAATCTTTGAGTGATTTTCAGAAGTTTTTGGGAAATATTTAAAGGGTATGTCCTTTTTAATGGGCATCTACAAATAATCTAAGTAGGGACCCCAATTTACCTAGATAGTTAACCAAGGAGGGTAGACAAATCCTTCGACTGTTATGATCCAGCTTCAACAGTTCAAAAAATTTTTTTTAAAAATATAAAAGGGGGAATAATGTCCCCAGTCCCCACATGACTCATCAAATAATACACTCCTCATTTAAAAATTTTATAATGTGAATACCAGTGAGCTTCAGACAGATTCTGGCATGATGGAACTTGAGCAACCATTGCTCAGGTCAAATGGAGACATCCATACACTAGACAGTGGAGAAGACTCTAATTTGGGGTCGAGGGCATGTTTGTGTTTTCTTGTAGGAAAAGAATAAAGCTTCGGCAGCTGTCAGACCAATTAGTGAGATGCATGGAGCAGAGAAAAACTGGACCTGAGACCATGGGAGCCTACCTAAGCCAGTTTGAGTGAGATCTCCTAAATCAGTGTTCCTGACCCTTGATGTCATCGAATCTAGAGCCCAAGAAAGAAAGAAAACAGTCGGTTCGAGATTTCCAGTTTTTCAACAGACCTGCTGCATTAACCTTCCGGACCCGTGAGTTTTCATCCCGAAGCCAACAGAGAACTGGAAAGACTAACTGTCTGCCCTTGACACACCTTGAAACAACAGAATTCATTTTGCCAGTTTTCCCTTTAGGGGAAAAAAGGACCCATTTAAAGTATTTGGACATTGGTATGGACTATGAGTGGCAAAAGCCTCTTTTCAGTATTTGAACAGGACATGGTCACTTGATGGTTCCTGTTTCTGGAATCACGACTAGGCCAGTGTATTTTTCTGGAGAAATGCAACTTGTCCTAATGCGACAACTATTGTTCATATTTTTCGTAATGCTACATGTGTAACATCAATGATTGTACCTAATGTATCTGTGCAAGTGCACTTTCTAAATGCTTTCCTGAGCAGATCTTGAAACGATTGGAAACTTTATCAAATTGTAAATGTAAATCACATGCGGGTTACCCTTGTAACAGAATGTAAATCACGTGCAGGTTACCCTTGTAACAGACGAAGGCTGGTAGAATGTTATGGCCCAGATCTGGTGATGGGTATGGTGATGGAGAGGCGCTATGTCAATGGGGGTCCTGGAAATGGTGGCAGTGGCAGTAGGCATTCTGGCTTTATGCCGAGCTCAAACGTGCCTTGTTCCAGAGACAAGAGATCCGTAACCAAGTATTGCTTAGCTTAGCCCATGGCAATCCCGATAGCCATGAAGGTTGGTTACAGATGATTTAAGGTTGGGGTATCTCCGATGATGGGCAACCTGTGGGGAAGACCCCTCCCACCTAAAACAGGGGTTCAAGGTCCCCCAAAGACGGGAAAGGGAGGGTGACCCTACTTGACCTAAGCCAGGAGTGCCTCATTTGAAAATAAAAAGGGGTGAATTGTGGGAACACCAGACCTTGAGCAGAGACCCACTTCCCCTTCTGCCTGGGAGTAGGCAGCTGTAAGACAATGTTTAGTAAAAACATGTTTACTAAAAACGATACAATAAGTTCCTGGCCACTTCCCCTTCTGCCTGGGAGTAGGCAGCTGTAAGACAATGTTTAGTAAAAACATGTTTACTAAAAACGATACAATAAGTTCCTGGGAAAGGCCTTCCCACGGAAACCGCCCTGACCTCGACCTTGTCCAAAGACTAACCGCACCTTCAAAAACCCACACACATCCACCTCTGGGTCAGGGCAGAACCAGCGAGGGTAGAGGAGAGAGCAGAAGCTTCTCTGGTGGGAGCTTTTCTTAGGAGGTTTTCTTGAACCTTTTTGGAGCCTGTTTAAAGTTTTCTTTATATCATTGAACGAGTCTCTGTGTTGTCAATCCCCGACACCCTCCGCACGTTCTCGGACACAGGCCACGCAGCAGACGTGACACTGAGCCATCTCTCCAGCCCCGTGACTGCTAATCTCACCTGGCTCTGAACTGTTACTAATTCCAACTGTCAAAGATGCCATTGGCCTACCAGTTAATGAGGGCTGTGGTGATCGGGTGGCATAAAAGGATCCAGCACCCTCTGGGCATCTTTCTATGTTCCTGAACCGACCGTCTTAGGGTTACTATTGCTGTGATTGAAACACCATGACCGAAAGCAACGTGGAGAGGAAAGGGTTCGTTCCCCTCGCAGTTCCACAAGCAGCTCATCATCAGAACCAGGGAGGGCAGAAACTCAGATAGGGCAGGAGGCACGAGCTAATGCTGATGCAGAGGCTACAGACAGGTGCCGCTTACTGACTTATTCATTCTCTCTCTCTCTCTCTCTCTCTCTCTCTCTCTCTCTCTCTCTCTCTCTCTCTCTCTCTCTCTCTCTCTCCCTCTCTCTCTCTGATTTTTGAGGCAGGGTTTCTCTGTCCTGGAACTCACTTTGTAGACCAGGCTGGTCTTGAACTCACATAGATCCACCTGCCTCTGCTTCCCATTTGCTGGGATTAAAGGTGTGTGCCACCATGCCTGGCTCATCAGCCTGCTTCCTCGTAGAACCCAGGACCACCAGGCCAGGGATGGCACCACCCACAATGGACTGGGTCCTCCCCCATCAATCAAGAAAATGCCCTACAGGGGGATCTGATGGAGGCCTTTCCTCAACCGAGGTCCCCTCCTTTCAGATGACTCAAGCTTGGGATAAGTTGACACAGAACTAGCCAGCACACTGACATTCTTTGTTTCGAGACAGGGTTTCTCTGTGTAGCTTTAGAGCCTGGAACTCACTCTGTAGACCAGGTTGACCTAGAACTCACAGGCTTGCCTCTGCCTCCCGAGTGCTGGGGTTAAAGACACGTTCCACCACTGCCTGGCCACACTGATGTTTTTGATGACTGCCAATTACCCTTAGTGATCTATGGAGTGAGGGCCAACCTAGGAAGGGCCTAGTAGAAGCTTTTGGAATGTCCTTCTAACCAGTCTAGGAATCCAAATGCAGTTGTGACTTGGACCAGGGCAATGCCAGGGTAATGCACTGACCATGTCCCAATGCCCTGTCTGATAAATCTGGGAGGGTGGACAGACCCTAGGGGAAGGCACAGCGGCGACTGCATCCACCGCACACAGCACGTAGCTATGATCCCTAAACGCTGCATTCTTTTATCCAGTTTGCCAGGACTACCTGGCAAAGCAACACTTTCTAGTCTTGCCTCAGCCTCAGGGGCCTCCGGGGCTTCCTGGGATGGAGGTCTAAAGTATCTGGTACAGAACTCTAATTATCTTAACGTCTTACAGACCGTACTTTCTGGGCTTGCCCCGTGATGGCAAATGGAAGTGGCTAACCTGGAGGCTGTCCCAGGAGAACCAGAGATAGATAAGCCCTATCTCAGATACCTGGTACTGCCGGGCCCAGGAGGTCAGGAATGCTCTGCAGAGCGGAACCGGCCTCTGCGGTACCCACAGGTTTAAGTCCTAGCCCTGGGCCTTTACTTTGGGAGCTGGGCTTTCCGAGTAGTGTCTGCTGGTGGGCGAGTGACCTCGGGCGACATGGAAGCCCGGGGGAGAGAGGGGAAGAGGGTAGAGATCCATAAGGGCGACAGAGGTCCCTGGGGAAGAGACAGTGGCGATGAAGGAGTGGGCGCTTAGCTTTCGGGGCCAGTCGGGTGGACCACGATGGGGACAGTTGGGAAAAGCGCTCGGAATAGGGAGTGCTGGGATATCTTCTGCGTGGAGTCGGATTCTGATCAAAGTAGAACAGTCTCCACTTTGGGACCCGGGGGACTCAGGTTGAGTCAGTAGGAGCGCACCGCACCGCCGAAAGGTTGATAAGGTGGAGTCAGAGCGGAAGGGCGGGGTCTGGGAGGAGCGACGCGCACGCGCAGTCTCTCCCTCCACCCCTCCGGTCGAGGCCTACGGTGGTGTAGGGGTGGGAAGCTGGGTGCGGGTGTGCGCGCACACATTTTTTTTTTTTTTTTTGCACTCGGACGGACGCTAGGGTGCGTAGTGGGCCGACTGCACTTCCAGGGTGGTGGGCGTTGGTACCTGGGTCTGTGCAGCCGGGGGCTGTGGCTTGTCAAGTGGTTGCACAGATCGGGAGCGAGCCGGGACTGCCGGCGGTGCGAGCCTATTCGCAGCGTTTTCACCCCCAAATTCCCAGGCCGGGTTGGCTAGGAATGCAAATGGCTCGTCCTCCCTGACGTCACAGCGCAGGGCACATAACGCTTGCTGTAGTGTTTTTCCGTCTCAGGTAAGGCGGAAGCAGTGGCCAAGTAGGGCCTTCAATTGGAAGGTGGCATTTCCTGGATAGCTGCCTGTGTGAGCTGCCTTCCCCGGGCCTGTGTGCACTGTCGCAGTTCCCTTCCCTCCCCTCCAAGGCCTTTTTGTTTATTACCCAGGATTTAGAAACTTGGGGCAAAGTATACGCAAAATGTAAAATTGAAAATTTTTGTCTTTCATCTGTTTGGGCGTATAATTCCGTGATACCTTCCCCTTTTGTGCCTTAAAACCTAGTTTTGCTTTGAAGGGGAAGGCCTGGAAAAAACGGTTGCTGTTTGCAAAAGTTAAAATACAACGCCCTGGAGAGAATGCATCACTAACAAGTATATACTCAGTGAATTCACAGGACTCTTATACAGCGTGAAGCATTCAGAACCAAACCCTTCTAAGAATCGTATCCTGTGTGTACTGCAGCTGACTGCTCTTTCTTTCTTTCCTTCCTTCCTTTCTTTTTTCTTTTTCTTTTCTTTTCTTTTTTTTGAGACAGTGTTTCTCTGTGTAGCTTTGGAGCCTGTTCCGAAACTCTCTGTAGACCAGGCTGGCCTCGAACTCACACAAGTGCTGGGATTAAAGGCGTGTGCCACCACTGCCTGGCTTCCCTGTCTTTCTGATGCCAAGCCACCCTGTTTCTCAGCCTTCCTAATGCTGTGACCCTTTAATACAGTTCCTCATGCTGTGCTGACCCCCAACATAAAATTATTTCATTGCTACCTCATAACTTCGATTCTGCTGCTGTTATGAATTGAAATGTAAATATGTGACCTGGAAGGGGTTGTGACCTGCAGGCTAAGAACAATGGGTGTGTGACTTCAGATGTGGTACAGAGGCCATTGTGAGGCTTTCCCATTACTTCGTTGCTCCTGAGCTGCAAGTTCAATGTATTTATTTATTTATCTATTTATTTATTTAAGGGCCGGAGCAATGGTGCTCCACTTGGTGCCTAGATGTTCTGCAAGGCTCTTCTGGGCGTCTCCAGGATGGAGGAGGACCTACACTCAGGGAACCTCGGTGGGGTTGACGTCCCTGGGTTGCCCTCGCCATAGGCACAGCCCCATGGCTCGCAGAGGGTATTCCTCGGCCTCTGGCAGCCCTGAGGTTATGCTGACCCCTGAGCGGTACCCTGTGCAACGTCTGCCGTTTTCTACTGTGTCTGAGGAGGACCTGGCCGCCTTTGAGCGCATCGTACCTGGCAGAGTTGTCACAGACCCAGAGCAACTGGAGGCATACAACGTGGACTGGCTGAGGAGCGTCCGGGGTGAGTCAGGACCTGGGCATGGAGTAAGAGATTCAAGTGCAGAAACCAGGGGGACAGTGTAGGTAAGGGGAGTAGCGTTCACTGTGAGTATGCCGTAAGTGCCCCGGAAACAGAGCCGGCCTTGGCTGAAGTGAGGGCTTGTGACACTCCTGCCTGCCCCTGCTCAGCTCTTAGGCAGTTGTCACCAAAGGCACCCCTCTCAGTTCTGGAGGCCCAGGGTCCAAAGTCAGGTGTGTCCCCTGCAGCCTGTAGGGGAGAATCCTTCCTGCCACTCTGAATTTCTGGTGACTCTGGGAGTTCCTGGTAGCATCCAGCCAGCTTCTACTTCTGCTTGTGTTGCCTTAGTCCTTGGTCTTCTTCTGTCTTTAAGGAAAAAAAAATTATTAGCTGGACAGTGGTGGCTTACACCTTTAATCCCAGCACAGAGGCAGAGGAAGGCGGATCTCAGCGTTTCCACAAAGTGAGTTCATGTACAGCCAGGGCTACACAAAGAAAGCCTGTCTCGAAAAAACAAAAAGAAAAGGTTTATTTGTGTGTGTGTGTGTGTGTGTGTGAGAGAGAGAGAGAGAGAGAGAGAGAGAGAGAGAGAGAGAGAGAGAGAGAGAGAGAGAGAGAGAGAGAGAGAGAGCGCCTTTGGAAGCCAGAAGAGGGTGTCACTTCCTGGAGTTAGAGTTACAGGCAGTTGTAAGTCAGCTGATGTGGGTGCGGGGAATCAAACTCGGGTTCTCTGCAAAGCAGCAAGTGTTCTTAATGGTGGAGCCATCTCTCCAGTCCTATAGACTCCTTGTCTTGTGAGTGTGTTTAATGCCCGCTTAGTCCAGGATGACCTTAACTTGAGATCTTTAAACCAGCAAACAGACAAACAAGTTTTCTGTGTATGTGTGTGAGGCAGTGTGTATGGGTTTGTGCACATGAATGCAGTCCACGTGGGAGCCAGAAGAAGGCACCAGATCTGCTGGAGCTACAGGCAGCTGTGTGCAACCAAGTGCGGGTTCGGGGAACCAAACTCTAGTCCTCTGTACTCCTCTTAACTACTCAACATCTCCGACACTCACCGTTAGATCTTAATTTTCCTATCAAGAGCCTAGGGCTCAGCGGTTAAGAGCACTGGCAGCCCGTAAGAGGACTGGGGTTCGATCCTCAGCACCCACATGAGTTCACAACTGTCTGTAAGTCCAGTTCCAGAGGATCTGACACAGCCACACAGACATACATGCAGGCAAAACACAAAGGCACATGAAATAAACACAAATACATTTAAAAATGTTAAAAAGAGTTTATTTCTATATTAAGCCATTTCTCTAGGTCCCAGGCTTAAGATTCCATCTTTGTGGGGATCCATGTGCCTCTAGAGAGAGGGGTGCATGACTGGCCCTCTTGCTGTGGCCTGATGCACGGTTGGTGCTATTGGCCTCCTCCTCCTGTTTCCATTGCTCAGTAGCCCAGGCCGAGTGGCAGCTGCATCTCATTTTCTCTTCTGAAGGGATTTCATCCGATTTGCAAACACAACATGCTATCTGCTATAAAGATAAGTACTTGGTGACAACAAAATAACTCACCTGACAGGCAATGGGAACACTTGGGTGCCAGGCAGGCTAGCCCAATGCTTCGTGGATGCTGTCTTGCTGGAAAGACCTGATAAACATTGAAACATCACAGGTTCCAGAGGGGTTGGAAACAATTATCTCTAGGTCTGCTTATGACCTAAAGAGGGACAACAGCATGGCTGTGTGGACAGTGGAACCCTGCATCTCTGTTTCCTGGGTGGAAAGGAGCGCAGGAGAGCCAGCCCTCTGGGGAAACGCAGTTTGGGTTTGTGCAGATAGATGCAGCCCATTGGGTTGCATGACAGGCCAATCCGGAGTCCAGCATCGGGACCACTGCTCCCAAGACTGTCAGTGGAGAAGAGGAATCAGCTAAGGAGACAGGGAGAGCCAGGCCAAGGGACAGCAGGAGTACAGTGCAGAGCCAATGCACAGAGGCTCATGGGGGCACAGATTGCTCATGTGACTGCTGATCAGGGCAGGCGACTGAGGAGGGTGCCCTTAGTGAACTTGACTAAGGGCTGTGGACACCGTCAGTGACCTTGGGGGAAGAGAGAAGCGTAGCCGGAGGCAGTTCTCTTGGGTGCTTCCTGAAGGCACACCATCATCGGGGGTGGGGAAGTGAGGGCGTTTATAGGAGCCCAGGCAGGGGAGGTGGTGTTTGCAGCCAAGAGCATGTTAGCTGCTTTACAGATGAGGAAGGGTAGGGGGGAAGGGAGGAGGGGAAGGCAATGAGCAGGCGGGGTGGGCTGTACCCGGTGAGCCGCACAGGGGCTGAGGAGCCCAGCGAGCAAGCAGACTGCCTGCAGTAGCCTAGGGAGAGTCGTTGCTAGTGGGTGTAGAGGTGAGGAGAGGTCTGGGGGGCGTTGGCGGCCATGGACAAGCGTGAACTATGATGGTGAGATGATGGTGAGATGATGATGGTGAGATGATGATGATGGTGAGATGATGATGGTGAGATGATGATGGTGAGATGATGGTGATGGTGAGATGATGATGGTGAGATGATGATGATGGTGAGATGATGATGATGGTGAGATGATGACGGTGAGATGATGACGGTGAGATGATGACGGTGAGATGATGATGGTGAGATGATGATGGTGAGATGATGGTGAGATTATGATGGTGAGATTATGATGGTGAGATGATGATGGTGAGATGATGATGGTGAGATGATGGTGAGATTATGATGGTGAGATTATGATGGTGAGATGATGATGATGGTGAGGTGATGATGGTGAGATGATGGTGAGATGATGGTGACGGTGAGATGATGATGGTGAGATGATGATGATGGTGAGGTGATGATGGTGAGATGATGATGGTGAGATGATGATGGTGAGATGATGATGATGGTGAGGTGATGATGGTGAGATGATGATGGTGAGATGACGGTGAGATTGGTGAGGAGATGATGGTGAGATGATGATGGTGAGATGATGATGGTGAGATGATGATGATGGTGAGGTGATGATGGTGAGATGATGATGGTGAGATGACGGTGAGATTGGTGAGGAGATGAAAGCTCCTCTGTGTGTCCTAGTTAGGTTTCCACTGCTGAGATGAAACCCTGACTAACGACACTCGGGGAGGGAAGGGTTTATCTGCATCTCTCTTCCACATCACTGCTCACTGTTGAAGGAAGTCAAGGTGGGAGCTCACACGGGGCGGGGACCTGGGGGCAGGAGCTGATGCAGAGGCTGTGCAGGGTGCTGCTCGCTAACTTGCTTCCATGGCGTGGCTCAGCCTGCCTTCTTACAGAACCCAGGACCAGCAGCCTAGGGATCGCAGCACCTGTCAATCACTAATAAGACTAATTAAGAAAGTGACGCACAGCTGGAGACATCTCCAACTGAAGTTCCTTCCTCTCAGATGAGTCTAGCTTGTGAAGTTGACATAAAACTAGCCATTAGCCAGGACAGCAGAGAGACTGCAGCAAAGAGAACACTACACACTCTTTCTCTTTTTTTTCAAGGCAAGTGTTTCTCTGTGGAGCCCTGGCTGACCTGGAACTCACTCTGTACACCAGGCTGGGCTTGAACTCACAGAGATCCGCCTGCCTCTGCCTCCCGAGTGCTGGGATTAAAGGCGTGCGCCATCTTCACTTATGGAAGGGAATGATTGTGACTGAACCCCGTCCCTTCACGTGGGCTGACAAGTCCATTCTCTTGTCACAGGCTGTAGTAAAGTGTTGCTGAGGCCGCAGACCTCCGAGGAAGTGTCCCAGATTCTTAGGTAAGAGAAACACCCCGCTTTCTTAGGTGAGGGAATGTCTGCAGTGAAACAGTCCTTCCAGCACCATGGGCTACATTCATAGCTGCCCAGTAGAAGATCCTGTAGCTTGCTGCCCTCTGGGCTCATGGGCAAGGGCATCCTTTCTCCAGGTCCCTCTCTGCAAGACTACTGGCTGGAGGAGCTTCACAGGCACAGCCCAGGGGCTGGTGGTCCAGGCTCAGAGCTCGCCTACAGCAGTGGGGTTAGAGGGAGTACGGGTGGTAGAGGTACAGATGGTGTCGCTGACTCTTACAGACTCTTAGGAGAGGGCTCTCTGAAGGTACTAGAATTAGACCACGTATACCCCTCCCCATGCCCCAGAGACCATGTCAGCCTCCTTCCTCTGTGTACAGTATTGGAGTGGACTCTCCCTTGAATTTTTCACAGGGTATTGGGGGAAGAGCCTCCGTAGCAGGAAGGCCTAGAAAGACGATCAGGTTTGAGAAACAGGTGTTAACTTGGTAGCCTGTCCTTTGGCAATAGGATGGTCATCTGGGCATGGGGATGCTGGCTTGATATCTATGCTATGTTTGTCCCAGGCATTGCTATAAGAGGAACTTGGCTGTGAACCCACAGGGGGGAAACACTGGCTTGGTGGGGGGCAGCGTCCCTGTGTTTGATGAAGTCATCCTGTCCACTGCCCTCATGAACCAAGTCATCAGCTTCCATGATGTATCCGGTAAGCTTGTGTGTGCCTGTGTGCTCTGAACTCCTCTGTCCTTCCTAATGCCCGATGAGCTTGTCTGTCTGTCTGTCCTCGTTGGCCTGGGACTCTGTGTGTGTGTGTGTGTGTGTGTGTGTGTGTGTGTGTGTGTGTGTCCTGTGTGTGGTCCTGGCTGGGACAGAGCTGGCAGCTGCATCAGGGCCATCTCCTGTGTGCTGTAAGTTACTAGGTGGCTCATACTGTGGGCATGTCACACAAGTCCTGTTTGCACCCAGGCTGCCGTGGCAGCTTGTCCTGGACGTATGTGGCCATGCAGTGATACCTGTGAAGGGGTTTCCATAGCCTTCTCCTATACTGAGGCTGGGTTGCTGTATAGGGGACTTTTGTTTGCGGTTGTCAGCAATGGTTTTCATCACCAAAAAGTGTCTAAACATTGTAACTAGGGAGCCCAGTGCTCCCCAGGCTGAGGTCATTGCTCTGTAACCATCCTTTCTTCTACTGCCTCCCCTGAGTTGTACAAGAACTTTTCTTCTCCATTTTTGCCTGTCTAATTTTTCTTGTTTTATACTGTAATTACAAGGACCAACCAAGCGTTTTGTTTTGTTTTGTTTTTCGAGACAGGGTTTCTCCGTGGCTTTGGAGGCTGTCCTGGAACTCACTCTGTAGACCAGGCTGGCCTTGAACTCACAGAGATCCGCCTGCCTCTGCCTCCCGAGTGCTGGGATTAAAGGCGTGCGCCACCAACACCTGGCTGGACCAAGTGGTTCTTTATTTTGTTTTTCTGTTTAGCAGGAAGATATCCTTCTTCCTTGGTGTCTGAGGAGAACACTCCTTCTGGGAGGTTTCTCAGCAGTGAGTGTTCCAGAAGCTGTTGGTAACTCAGTTCTATTTGCAGGAATTCTGGTCTGCCAGGCAGGCTGTGTGCTGGAAGACCTGAATGCCTATGTGCAGGAGCGGGACTTCGTCATGCCACTGGACTTGGGAGCAAAGGGCAGCTGCCACATTGGGGGTAATGTGGCAACCAATGCTGGTGGTCTGCGCTTTCTGCGGTATGGCTCGCTTCGAGGGACTGTCCTGGGCCTGGAAGTGGTGAGCTGGGTTCTAACGGTGCAAAGCCTGCCCTGGGGATGTCCTAACTTCAGTCTAAGGCTGTTGTCTTAGCAGGGGCACAGGGCATGGGGCTATATTGGTGCATATGTATCGATTTAAGCTCAGGGACCCTATTGCAGTGGTTTCTGGCTCTGGGCACCTCAGGGACATGTGGAGTCCACATAAGGAGCCACAGGGGACCCTTCATTCAGGCCGTGACGTTCTACTTGTACCAGACTTTGAGGAATTGGAGAATGAGGAAGGATAGCTAAGGCCAACTTGGTATGGAGTCACACCCGTGCCAGCGTATCTCCTGGACCTTGAGTCCCCTTCCCTGAACCCTTGCTATATTAGCACCTTTTGCACTGCTGTGATACAATAACTGGCAAGTGACATAGGGAGCAGGGGTTTATTTTGACTCGGTTTGAGAGGATGCAGTGTGTAACAGCCGGGAAGGGTGCAGTAGGGATGTGATGGAGATGGTTACCTTCTGTCAGGAAACACAAAGATGCATTCTGGTGCTCACATTTTAACAAGCTGTCCACATTCGAGGTTACCTCAGTTACATATTTATGGAAACACCACAGGCCCAGTGCTTCCATGGTAATTTAAATTTAAAAGTAAGTCTGTGTGTGTGTGTGTGTGTGTGTGTGTGTGTGTGTGTGTGTGTGTGTGTGTGTCAGAGACGGGGAGGGGCAGTGGGGGGGAGAGAGAGAGAGACAAACAGACAGAGAGAGCGAGTGAGTGCTTGAGTGTCTTCTATGACATTTCACCTTGTTTTATGAGATAGTCTCCTAATGAACTTGGAGCTCACCAGCTCGCTAGACTTGTTGACCAATGATCCTCCTATCTCTGCCTCCTAGTGCTGGAATATAGCACAAACTGCCATGTCCAGTGTAGACCAGGCTGAGTGCTGGGATTAAAGACATAACATGTGCTACTGTGTCTGACTCTCTCTCTCTCTCTCTACATATATATATATATAGTGTGTGTGTGTGTGTGTGTGTGTGTGTGTGTGTGTGTGTGTGTGGTGTGTGCTGGGATTAAAGACATGTGCTACCCGTGTCTGACTCTCCATATTTATTGTATGTGTGTGTGCACACGTGCATGTGTGCACATACCATGGCACCTATGTGGAGGCCAGAGGACAGCTTGTGGGAGTTGGTTCTCTGCTTCTGCCATGGAGATTATGGGGATCGACCTGGGTTGTCAGGCTTAGTGGCAGGTGCCCTCACCCCCTGAGCCATCTCACAAGCTCTGGACCCAGCCTTTTCCATGGGTGCTGGGAATTGGAACTCAAGTTCTCTGCTTATGCAGCAGACGCTCTCTGCCCACCCAGCTCCCGATTTTCCACTGGTGAAGTTGACAATGTAGACTAAGTTGCTTATCCCACCTGCTGGTGGGTTCTAAGGGCAGAGCCTCTGTCCTGCTTACCCAGGTGACGGGCAAACAGAAAGCCATGCTTCATCCAGTGAGTCAGTGTCCAAGGAGCTTTGCTCTCTGCTCGGTTGCCAGCCACTGTTACTACTTTCCTGTGCTTACTGTCCTGGAAATTCGGTAAGCCCCTGGCTTGACGTACTAGCCAACAAGTCTCAGGTAGAATTGTGAAACGGGAACCAGCAGCGCCTGAATGACCTAGGGCCTCAGATGTGGGGGGCCTCAGATGTGGGGGGCCTCACGGCAGGCTGTTCTCTGTTGCTCACTCCTCCCAGCTGTGCTCCTCGCTCCCCTTTCAAGGGCTTCTTACCTCTCAGATGTGCTCCCTGCCCTCAAGCTGTGTTTTCGCTTCTCCCAGTTCTGGAGGCTCCTGGCTTCCTCAGGTGTGCTCCCTGACCATTGCGGCTGTGCTCCTGCCCCCTCCACCTGTGCTCCCTATGCTCTCCTGTCTGTGCCTCTCCCTTGCATCCCTGTCCGTCCTGCTGTGCTCCCTGTATATTCTTTGCCATGGGTGGGTTTCCCTCCAGCAACCAGACAATGACTTTCTTGGCTTAAGGCAAGGTTGGGGGAGTCTTGCTCTAGCTGGGGAGAAATGTCGTCCCTTTAGTCTGATTAATCCACTCCAGGTTCTATGCATCCCCAGACTTCATCTTGAAGTAATTGGGGGTGTGATGGGTGGAGTGGCGGAGCGTTTATGGCTGGCTACTTTTGCAGGGGGTGTTTGGAGTTGGGCCAGCATCCCCGGAGAAGGGAAGGGTGGCTGATGCAGGAAGGCCTGTCTCTTTCCTCTTGTCAGGTGCTTGCTGATGGGACCATCCTGAACTGCCTGACCTCCCTGAGGAAGGATAACACAGGCTATGACCTGAAGCAGCTGTTCATCGGGTCAGAGGGCACGCTGGGAGTCATCACTGCTGTGTCCATCTTGTGTCCACCCAGGCCCAAGGCTGTGAATGTGGCTTTCCTCGGTAGGTCCCCGAGCCAACTAGGGAGGGTGGGCAGCCACTCTGGACATGCTGGTGTGCACTTGGAATGCTCCTTGCCCTCTGCTTCCTGTCCAGAGGCCTGGGTCCTGGCCCTCCAGGTGTCCCGCGTGTAGCCTGAACCAGAGGCGATGGCCTGTTTCTCGTCAGGACACTTCGCTCTAACACAGTTGAGGCTCTTTTCTTCTTTGTCCACCGTGCTTGGACTTCAGAAGTGTGTCGTGCGATCCCGAGCGCAACCCTGGCTGAGCGGTGCTCGCCGCTCTGGAGCGGATGTTCTCTTTACTCCCTTATTCTGGCTCGCTGCTCTGGAGCGGATGTTCTCTTTACTCCCTTACTCTGGCTCGCCGCTCTGGAGCGGATGTTCTCTTTACTCCCTTACTCTGGCTCGCCGCTCTGGAGCGGATGTTCTCTTTACTCCCTTACTCTGGCTCGCCGCTCTGGAGCGGATGTTCTCTTTACTCCCTTACTCTGGCTCGCCGCTCTGGAGCGGATGTTCTCTTTACTCCCTTACTCTGGCTCGCTGCTCTTGGCTGTAGTGACTCCCTACACAGGGCTTTCACACCATTTGGACTGCCTTGTCTGTGCGGCTAACGTCAATGGCCTGCCTTTGCTGTCTGTGGTTCATGCTTTTCTTTTACCTTCTTGAGGATTGTTATCTAGCTTCTGCCTGCGGCTGACTCATTCAGTTGAGCTGAATGAGTTCTGGAGGAAGACAGGCAGGCTTGACTCACCAAATCCTACCAGAGGAGGCTGGAGGCCTTACAGTCTTTCCCAGTTATTTGTTCTTTTTTGTCCCTTTATTTGCTTATTTATTTTGTGTGTGCATATGCATGTGTGTGGGTTTAGATTTATGCCCATGCTTGTGGAGTCCAGAGATCATGCTGGTGGGGTCCAGATGGGTATTGTTTCATCTTGTTTTTTGAGATAAGATTTGTCACTGTCCTGGTAGCCACTGCCCAGAGACCCACCTGTCTTCATCTCCTCAGTGCAGGAATTCCAAATATGTGCCACCATGCATGGCTTTTCTTTTCTTTTTTTTAATTAAAAAAATTATTATGTATACAGTGTTCCGCCTGCATGTATGCCTGCAGGCCAGAAGAGGGCACCAGATCTTGACGGATGGTTGTGAACCACCATGTTTTTGCTGGGAATTGAACTCTGGACCTCTGGAAGAGCACCCGTGCTCTTAACCTCTGAGCCATCTCTCCAGCCCCATACTTGACTTTCCATGTGGGTGCCCAGGATGAGGCTCAGGTCCTTCTGTCTGGACAGCCTGCATGTTACCACAGACTGGGCCATTTCCCCAGCCCCCAAGTTTTCTATCTTTTTAAAGTCACAGCATTGTTTATGGACCATTTCTTGCAGTGGAGGACCTGGTTTCTCACAGCGTCTTGTCTGTGTTTTCTGAGCTACCGTGGGTTGTAGCAGAGCCTTGTTTCTCAGCTGTTTGTTTGGTCCCTAGAAGCCTAGGGTGAGGGTGGTTTCTTCCTGGGAGGGGTTGTGTTGCTTTTGCTAGGTGGTCCTGGGTCTTCTAAAGTCCAGGAATGTCATCTCCTGCCACAAGGTTTCTGGATCCTCTACCTGTGGATATGTTCCCTTCTGCTTCCATACTTTGGAGGCAGCTACCCCGGGGCTGTGCTGTGATCCCCGCCCTGTAGCACTTGCAGAGATCTCAGGTGTCCATAGATAAGTGTCCAGTGAGTTTCTGAGACCAACTTAGACCTTGGTACAGACGGGGGAGTGAAATGACTCAGTTTTGGTGTCTCGTAGCTCTGGCCCCATGCTTACAGACTTTGCCATGATGTGTCTCTCTGATTCCTTTTGCCATTCCGAGTGCTCTGTAGCAGTTCAGGCACAGTTTCAGATCTCGACCTTGAGCTGAGCTGTGGAGTGTTTCCTGTAGCACCAAGCCCGTCATAGTTACTCCGCTTGTTGTCCATGTGAGTTGGGTTGGTGTTGCTTCTGAGAAGGGGGTGACCCGGCCAGGCGATGGGTGAGGCCCTGTGTCCCAGGGTCCTTCACTCTGTGTGCCTGATGCTCTACGTCCTGTTACAGGTTGCCCTGGGTTTGCTGAGGTTCTGCAGACATTCAGCACCTGCAAGGGGATGCTGGGCGAGATCCTGTCTGCGTTTGAGTTTATGGACAGTGAATGCATGCAGTTGGTCAGACAGCACCTCCACTTGACCAACCCAGTACAAGGTACCTACCCCTGTGTGTGTTGGCAACACTACCATGTTGCTTGGATACCATGGGGCATTTTGGATGGCTCAGAGGTCCTGGCAGTTGAATGTCCCAGGCAGGCAGGTATTTAAGAAGCACTGTGTGACCATGGGACATTGTGTATAGGAAGGAAAGCTTTGCTGACTTTAACCCTTGTATTCAGTGTGTAGTAGGGGTAGCTTGCATTATTATTATAGAAGAAGCCTTAATGTTGTGTTAAGGGGTCAGTGACCCTCAGTAAATTAGTAATACACATTTAATTTTTGAAAGTTTAAACAGTAAGTTCTTGTGGTGGAGATTATGGCCTTTAAGCATATAGTAGCTGTGTCTGAGGCAATCATCTACTAACAGATGGTCTTTCCCTGGGGTTCTGGAGTTTTGTAAGTGTTGTGGAATGTTTGATTGCAGTGTGAAACTTTGAGACTGTGTTAGTAAAATTAGCCTTGGATAGGGCACAGGGCAGTGACTAGTTGATGAGAACTAGCATGAAGGACCCAGAAGACTGATAGAGAGGGGCACAGGAAGGAGTAGGGAGGGACTTAGAGATTCATGGCTTCTCAGAGCTAGTAGGTGTTCACCCCAACATCTGACTCCTGAGTGTTTATTGGTAAATGGAACAACTTAGATAAAAACAACATGTAAGAGTAGACAAGACAGGCGCATTTAACCCACTGATTTGGGCTGTGTTTTGGCTGAGAGCCCCGCAGTGATGGGAGTCAGTAGCAAGGTATCCAGCCGCTGCTTTAAGCCGAGAAGGCAGCCAAGGCCCGTAAGTGAAAGAAACCGAGGCTGAGGCAGGCCAAGGAAGAAGCCCAGGCCGAGAGGGAACAGCACCTCCTGCACAGGGAGGAGGAGTCCGAGGCCAAGGAAGCTGTGGCAATGGGCCCCATGGCCGTTGTGGCAGTGATGACCGTCCTCCCGAACTACTTCCAGCAGAACAGGGATGAAGTCCTAGATAACCTTCTGGCCTTTGTGTGCGACATCTGACCAGAAACCCATGAAGACTGTCACATAAACGGATTGGGGGGGGGGACACCTGCTCTGTGGGTTGGCGTGGGAGACGCCCTCGGAGTGGGAAACCCTCCGCAGAGCTCGAGTTCTGTTCTGGAAGGCATTACATTACTTCTTTATGCTGTCGTGGATCCCTTCACTTTTTGAGAGCATCAAATCTAGCTCTTTGTACAACTTAGTAAGTTCCTGAAGTTTCATCTTTTTACCCTGTGTGTCTTTAAGGAATATATGTTTCCTGCGTGTTTGTGCTAACAGCAGCTATCGCTGTTGACTTTTCCTTTATCAGTCTAGTAGGAAAAAAAAAAACCAAACCAATTCTTTGTACAAACAGCAGGCATCACTGTTGATTTTTCCTTTATTAGTTTAGTAAAAAAAAAAACAATTCTTTGTGCAATTAGCAGCTATCACTGTTGACTTTTCCTTTATTAGTCTAATAGAAAAAAAAAACCCAAACAAACCAATTCTGTGTAGAAACAAAGGGAGTAAATTGTTCCCTTCCACTTAAAGGTCAGGGGTGTTACCTAAGAAAAGGTAGTAAATAGCATTTGTAACCCCATGAAGCAGCAGCCAGTCCATCCTGGCTAATTTAGGACGATGAATATGCTTGGTCAGGCTGCTGTTAGTGTGTCCTAACCCAAATTTCTAGATGCTCAAGAAAAGTGTTACATATTATTTGCTCAAGAAAGTGTTACATATTATTTGGTGTGCTTGTAATCATTTGAAAGTAAAACTTTGTCTTTCAAAGGAAAAAAAAAGACAGGACAAGCCAGCTCTCAGACCCCGAAGCTGCCGGGCCTGTACCACATGAGGCCTTGGAAGTATCAGCCCGGCCCAGCCTTATCTGAGAGTGCAGGAAACGTGCATTTAACCCGTGTGAAGTTTAGGTGCCCAAATGCTTCCCATTCATAGTTCACCTCCAGCTCCTGGGGAGAGCTGACTTTGCTGCGGGAGCAGGTGGGGCCGGGGCTTACACTGCGTCTCCGCTCCCGTGTAGAGAGTCCGTTCTACGTCCTGGTTGAGACCTCAGGCTCCAGCGCAGCACATGATGCCGAGAAGCTGACCAGTGTCCTGGAGCAGATGCTGAACTCCGGCCTGGTGAGCGACGGCACTATGGCTACTGACCAGAGGAAGATCCAGGTGACGTAACACCGCTTCCCACCTTCCTTCCCTCCTGTCCACATAGCTAGGGTCTGACCTGTCCAGCAGCGATGCAGCGTGTGGCCAAGCTACAGCTCGGTTCATAGGATAGACAGGAAAGCCTCTCTGTAGTGCAAAATGTATTCTTGCTATCTAGATCATTTTCACTAACATTAGCAAAACACTCCCCCCCCGCATGTCCCCACCCCCAGGCTGCATGGTGAACAGATCCACACAGCTGACTGTGTGCTGGCTGTAAGTTGGCTACAGCTCCCTACAGACTTGTCTAGAGTGGGGAGAGACTAGAAGAATTGTAAGGGCCATGGGAGGCAAGCCTGAAGGCTTAACGAGTCCTGGGGAACAGGGGCCTGAGGAACAGGCCTTACTGTATTGTCAGGAAGCCACTTGTTTTCTTGGGGGGGGGCAAAGGAACAGGAGGCATTTCTGTTTGGGAGCGGCTCATCACCTAACCTGGGAGTTTTTATTTTCCTGGTGGCTGGCCCAGGTCCTGCTGTCTGCAGTATGGTGAGTTGCCAGCAGAGGGCAGAGAGGCTGCAGGGAATGGTCACCAGAGTTGGTCCTTGAAGAGAGAAAAAAGGAAGGCGCCTAGGGAGTGTGAAAAACATGGACTCCTTGAGCTTTGACTTCTAGAGTCAGCCTGTTATATATTCTATTGTATTCTAAACGCTACCTCTAGAGTCAGCCTGTTGTATATTCTATTGTATTCTAAATGCTTTTTTATTTGTTTGCTTTTTCAAAACATGGTTTTTCTGTGTAACTTTAGAGTCTGTCCTGGAACTCACTCTGTAGACTAGGCTGGCCTCGAACTCACAGAGATCCACCTGCCTCTGCCTCCCGGGTGCTGGCATTAAAGGTGTGCGCCACCACTACCTGGCTAATAGCTTTTTTCTTATAGTTAGGGTTGTTTTGTTAGTTGGTTGGGTTTTTTTTTTTTTGAGCTATGTTCTCATATAGCCTCAGCTGACTTTGAACTTGTTGTGTACTGAGAGCATCTTGACCTTCTGGCCCCCCACCCTCAAGTCCACGAGAGCTTAGATGTGCTTCCATGCCTGGTCTATGTGGTTCTGGTGATCCAACCTAAGGCTTCGTGTTGCTGGGTAAGAACTGTCCCAGCTGAGCTGTACACCAGGCCCACGGCCCATGTTTATTGAAGTGTAAGTAATGGCACTGCTTCATACCAGAGGTATTCAGGGCAGTGTGCAGCCCTTGTGGCCGCTTTGATTCCGTGAGGCCGCCCTCCCGCCACAGATTGATTTTAGGGCTGCTGGTGGTGAACATGGTACTGTCCACTCGCTTTGGCCTTAGCTTCCTCCTTCACCCTGATGTGGTACCTTTCTGCCTGGTGGTAACCCTGCATTGGATCCTGATGGCAGAGGTGCTCACTCCTGAGTCCTCAGGGTCCCATGTCCCATCATGTCTCTGCTGGGTTCCCCTCCGGGGTTTCCTAGAAAACGTCTGGGAGAGACTGGAGTGTCCCAGCATCCTGCTCGGCACTTTGCTGTGCTAGACTTGGATTTGGGTTTAGAAACACTCTTTTCTGGAGCTGTAGCTCGGTTCGATGACATGGTCTGACCCTTGACCGTCTTTGTGTGGTGCAAGGATGGTTTTGAAGATGTTACTGCCGACTTCTCATGTTGAATGAGGCCCTGGGGAGTCCTGAGTCACGCTGCCCTCTGGTCCTTTGGTTTTTCCTCCAGAAGCCCTGAGTTCTCTTTTAAAATTTATTAGTGTGTGTGTGTGTGTGTGTGTGTGTGTGTGTGTGTGTGTGTGTGTATGTGTGTGTGTGTGTGTACCTGTGCTATGGTATGTGTATAGAGGCCAGGGGACAACTTTGCAGAGTCATTTTTCTTCTTGCTCCATGTGAGCATTCTGGGTATTGAACTCAGGTTGCCAGCCTTACACAGCAAGTGCCTTTACCTGCTGAGCTATCCTTCTGGGCTTTTGTTTTGTTTTTAAAACACTATTATTGTGTGTGCTTTGGCAAATGTGTTGAGGTCAGGAGAACTTTGGGAGTTGGTTCACACCTCTTAGATTCTAGGCATCAAAGGAAGCCATCGGGCTTGCCCCAGCAAATGCTTTAACCCACGGAGCTGGCCCAGTGGTGGGTTTTCTGACGTGTCCTAAGAAGGTGGCCTGTGTGGATCTACATCTCGAGTGTCATATGTTTTGAGGAGGCTGTTACATGACCTTCCCAGTAAGACATGGGCATGTATTGACTCCAGATAGGAGGCTAAAGGAAGAGTCAAGTCTAGCCTGGCGAGATAAATGCATTTACTGGGATTTTTTAGAGGACCATGTCTGACTTACCTTTTGCCTGCTTGTCTACCTATGCAAACGAATTCTGAGTGCTACCTAGCATTGAAGCCTCAGGTGGTCATTAGAAACAAACAAGCATCTGGGAAAGTTAAGGTGACTCACATTCTGCCTTTGCTTTTTTTTTTTAAAGATTTATTCATTTTTATTTTACATTGTATGAGTGTTTTACCTGCTTGTATGTGTGTGCACTGTACACCTTGTGCCTGTAGAGGGCACCAGATCTCCTGGAACCTACAGTCTGTCTTCAGCCGCCATGTGGGTGGTTAAAAAGAACCGGGGTCGTCTACTGGAGCCGCAAGTGCTCTTAGCCATTGAGTCATCTCTCCAGCCTTTTATGAAAGGTTCTGTTGGACTTCATTGTGACATTGTTACCATGCGGATTGTATCTTACTCCTATCTCCTCCCTGCTGCCGACCTCAGCACCTCCTCCTTCCCATGGGTCCTTGCCCCAAAAAGGTTCTCTTCTGCTCTCATGCCACACGCACGTGTGTATGCATGTGTACATACAGTTAAATATAGATCCTGCGTGTGAGAGGAAGTGTTTGCTGCAGCCCGGCACGTAGACTAGCTGCAATTAGAGGGCCAGTCTCCTCGCTACAGAGGCCTCTGACGACCTATGCAGACTGCTCCAGCCCTCACCCTGCTGGAGGCTCGCAACAGATACCACGTGGCCCTTACGTCTTCCAACACGTGCTGCATGCCTCTGTGACTTACGACAGCTAGGTGTTCCGCTGACTGGACTTCAGCGATGACCTGGTGCGGGCCCAAAGCTCACACCCGTCAGCCCCGCCTCATGAGAAGCCTGGAGACAGTAACAGTTGATGGGATAGGGAGGTGGGAAGATAATCCCCTCGGGGAGTTTGTGGGGGAGTTTGTGGGGGGAGGGTAGATGCTCTAGAGGAGGGGGAGGCTGCAACAGAGTTAGGGGGCGGCAGGACAAGAGAGGGCACCACAGTGCAGTGTCTCCCATGCTCCTCCTGGCCAGCTGGATGTCTGTGGTGGGGATCAGCTAGGAGGCCACGTGGTGGTCAGGGACAGAGGGACCAAAATAGCTATAAAAGTGGGGAGAACCAAAACCAACCAATCACGCCTTTAATCCCAGCACTTGGGAAGCAGAGGCAGGGGGGATCTCTCTAAGTGTGAAATCCACCTGGTCTACAGAGCGAGTTCTAAGACCTAGAAATAAACCCTGTCTCTAAAAACCGCACACGAGAAAGGTTGTGAGAGTTGGGGAGATTTGGACTTTGACTATCGTCTCAGTGGTGGCAAGAGGCTGAGCTTTTATTATTTTGGGTTGGGCCTGCCATGAGGTGACACAGGAGAGAAGGAGGGCCATGGGGACAGCTCAGCCAGCAAGTTACTTGCTGGTTAGGAATGAGACCTGAATTTGATCTCCAGAACTCATGTAACAAGTTGAGCACGAGGAATGTGCTTCTAATCCGAGTACCCGAGAGGTGGAGACAAGCGAATCTCTGTCCTGCTGGCTAGCCTAGCCTGTTCCTTGAGTTCCAGACTGTTCAGAGACCCTTGAGGAACATTTGAGGATACTCTCTGAAGAACAACACTCAAGGTTGTCCTCATACCTTACATGTAGTACACACACACACACACACACACACACACACACACACACACACACACACGGTGGGGAAAGTCCCTATCATTTACATGCTTTACTTGGTATAGTCCCTGAAGTGATGGGGTCGCTCAGGGACTGGCACAGGGCTGGAGGTCCTCGTGTGGCAGGGGCTGACTCTGCAGAGGGGAGATAGGACCCTGTCCTTCTTGTGAGCCTCAGTGTATGAAACCGAATAAAAGCGGAGCAGCTGAGTGAGCAGCTCTGCTCCAGGCCCCGTCCTGCTCTGCTCTGGGTTCCCGGTCCCCACCTTTGCACGCCCTCTGCCTGCCTCTGCGAAGATCAGGGTTAAAGCAGCAACATCTCAGTGACCCCGTCCCCGAGCCCTGTCCCCGTGTGCTGACTATTCCCTCTGCTGTCTGTCCTAGACGCTGTGGGCCCTTCGGGAGAGGATCACAGAGGCGCTCAGCCGTGACGGCTGCGTGTTCAAGTATGACATATCCCTCCCCGTGGAGCGGCTCTATGACCTCGTGATCGACGTTCGAGCCCGCCTTGGCCCTCGAGCCAAGCATGTGGTGGGATACGGGCACTTGGGTGAGCAGCGTTGTCATTCTGCCCCTGTGGGCTGCACATTTGCCCCGAGGTGAACTGACTTAAGCATATTAAAGAGAGCCTCAGAGGTGCTAAAGTTCATCTGTGCTGCACTAAGAACAGAGCTGAACACTTGGCCTTGAGTCAGTCGTACCGAGAGCAAGCCCAAGTTTGAGTTCTCTGCTTCTCCAGCCTACCGTCTGGTTTGTAGTTTGTCGGCTGTGCCCGCTAGGTACCTGACTGTGAGTCTGTGTTCCTATTGCTGTTTGTCTGCCTGTCCCTAACAAAGAACTTTATATTTACTGAAAAGCTCAGGAAAGGTTACATGGGGAATGAATGCGGTATAATTTCCTTAATAGAATTTCACAGTCGATTACATTATTTACTCCAGCTTACCCCAGCCGGCCCCAAAGTACTCAGTAAAACAAAGAGAACTGTAAGTGTATGCTATCAAGTTATATTCATGTTGCCTCCAACATTTATGCCAGATATTTGCTATTTAAGGTTGCTTTTTGACCTGTTTGCTGTTTTCAGTAAATGATTACCATCACGAACATACACACAGACACCCAGAGGATGTTGCCCTCTGGGTCAGGGACATGGAAGTGTAGTTTAAGTTTATACCTACGGGTTATCTTAGGTTGTAAAGCTGATTACATGGGGAAAACCCAAGGCAAGCAAGGTTGGTTGTTTATTGTTTTCTTGTTTTTTGAGACAGGGTTTCTCTGTATAGTTTTGGAGCCTGTCCTAGAACTCGCTCTTGTAGAACCAGGCTGGTTTCAAACTCAGCACAGAGATCCTCCTGCCTCTTCCTCCTAAGTGCTAGGATTAAAGGTGAGTGCTACCATCACCTGGCATTACTTTGTTTTCTTAAAGGCAGGATAAACAAACAAGCTGAGTATATAGCAGGGTATCAGGTCAAATATATGTGTACACACACACACACACACACACACACACACACACACACACACACAGAGTCTTATATTAACTTGGCTGTGAGGTCCACCAAAAGTTCCAGTTTCTTGGACTGTAAGAGATATTTTCTTAAAATGGTATCACTACAGTGGCCTCCATAGCTGAGCTTGCCAGTTGAACTCTGTTTTGTCCCAGCAAAGGGGGCAAATCCTAGACTGACAGGATGCCATCGCTGTATTTCTTTCTCTTTTCTTTGTTTTTTGAGACAAGGTAATACTCTGTAGTCCTGGCTGGCCTGGAATTCACTGTGTAGACCAGGCTGGCCTCAAACTCATGGAGCTCCACCTGCCCCCGTGTGCTGAGTGCTGGGATTGCAGACATGCGCCCCACGCTCTGCTGCTGCTGCTTTTACTTCAAGTATTGCTTGAGAAGTCTTCTGCTGTGCAGCGGCGTGGCTCTCACCAGCCTGTCCCTTTAGACCAGAGTCACTTCCCAGTGGAAAAGTGGCGCTCTGGGTCGCAGGTTGACTGACAGGAATGACTTGTCCGTCCCCCCCAGTCTCTGACACCTCCAGTTCATGGGACATGTGCTGGCCTCGGGGAAGCAGTGTGGACGTGGACCTCTTGCTGCCTCCCACGTGACTGAGCAGGGGCTCACTTGCCCACGGCTCTACAAGATGGGGCTCAGTAGCTCCCCTCGCAGTCATGGAGGGTTGAGGGAACGGGCACGGGCTGTGGTTCAGAAACTGGACAGGCAGGGTACAGTCACCTGCTAGTGGAGAGTTATCTCACAGGGCGTTAGAAGTATGAGCAGGAGCTATTGGGCAGAGTTCGGGGCCTGCTCAACCTAACTGTTCCCTTGTTCCTCAGGGGATGGCAACCTTCACCTGAATGTGACGGCAGAGGCCTTTAGCCAGGAGTTGCTTGGTGCCTTGGAGCCCTATGTGTATTCCTGGACAGCGGAGCAGCGGGGCAGTGTCAGTGCCGAGCATGGCCTGGGCTTCAAGAAGAAGAACGTTCTCGGCTATAGCAAGCCACCTGAGGCCATGAAGCTTATGCAACAGCTCAAGGTCCTGCTGGACCCCAAAGGCATCCTGAACCCCTATAAGACTCTGCCTGCTCGGGCCTAATTGGAGCTCTTCATCTCGTTGCCATGAGATGCTGGGACCTGGCATGCAGGGTTGGTAGGCCATGAGGCCTCCCATCTGATGACACCTGCAACAGACCAGGTTACTGTCTCCCCTTGGCTATCCAGGGGCCAACTCGAGGACCCTCTGGGCTGGGCTGCCTTTCTGTATGTTGAGCAGAGCAGATGAGAACTCTCTGATGTCCTACCAGCTCATTGCGGGCAGGCTAAGTGGGTGGGCAGTTTCCCCACTCCTAAACAGACCAAATCTCCTCTGCTCTGTGGCGGTCAGTGGAGACCCGCCTTGTCTGGGTCTGGGAAGACTTCGATGTGATCTTGTTACCGGATGGATCTCTATGTGATGTGTGCCCTGTGAGGGCTGCGGCAGAGCTGTCCAGTCCCAGATCAGTTACCACGATGGCCCAGAGCACTACAACTCTAATCCCATGGGGCTGAGTGGGGTCGTCTGTTATACCAAGCAGGTCTTGGATTGGTAATTGACCAGGGCAGGCCATTTCTCTTGTTTTGTTTTCTTTGTTTGTTTTGTTTAGCTCTAGCTGTCCTGAAATTTACTGCATAGACCAGACTAACATTTAATTCACAGAGGTCCACCTGTCTGCCCCTTGCCTCCTGATTGCTGGGATTAAAGGCAAGTGCCACCACACCTAGCTTGCCTTGTTCTTAAAGGCCTATCTGCCCCCTTTGCCTCCTGATTGCTGGGATTAAAGGCAAGTGCCACCATGCCTAACTTGTCTTGTTCTTAAAGGCCTGTCTGTCCCTTTGCCTCCTGAGTGCTGGGATTAAAGGCAATTGCCACCACGCCTAGATTGCCTTGTTCTTGAAGGCCTGCCTGGTTGGTAAGCAGGTGTGGGCTGTGAGTGCCCACAGAGCTTGACCTTTCCGGCCATGGGATAATTCCCAGACTGAAGTGCTGGAGGCAACCTTGAATCCTGGGCATACCATGTGGTCTACACACTGTCCTCTCATGTCCTAGAGTCCTGGCAACCTGGGAGGTTGGACACGTCTGTCTACTTTTCTGCTGTCGTCAATTTCCAGAAAAAAAATTGAATTATAAACTGCTGCTGCTGCTGCTGCTGGGAAGTTAATCACATGAAGTGAATTGCACGGCTCTGGCTCATCCCCCACATTTGGTGCTCTCTGGGTTCCCAGTGTGTCTTCACATGTGGACTGGAAAATAAATGTGAGGAGGGAGAGGCTGCATCTACCCTGCCCTCCGGCGTGGTACAAATAGGCACGGGGAATGTGGGGTCCCAAAGGGGGTGCATGTCAAGCCCTTCCGGTTAGTGCCAACCTTCCTCTTACTCCTGTCGGGCGTTTGTTCCTGGAGCTCACAGGGTGCGGGGTGGGCAAAGGGGCTGTGGTTTTCTCCTCTTGAATAGCCATGAGATGTTCCCTCTGACTCATCCATCCCCGGGGAAGGGTCACTGCTTAGAACCACGGTAGCTTTCCTTTTATGCCTAGAAGTTAGTGGCATCTAAGAGTCAGTGAAGCATAGTATGGCGGGTGTAGCAGTGTGTAGCTGGAAGATAAGCTGTCCAGAGTTGTGTTGGCACTGACCACTTAGACAGGGAGCAGCGAGTTCTCCCCATGAAGAAAAACTAGTTAGAAATAGCCGGGAAACTGGGTTTGACAGGTGAAACAAGCTTGTTTCTAACTTAAATTAAAAAAGAAAAAGAAAGAAATAGCTGGAAAAATGAACTTGCCTCCGAGTCTGCTCACTGACACACACTACAGTCACTGAGGACAGGGAACATCTTGGGTATACAGGAGACACACTCCAACCCATCATGGTTTGCTGACCTGGTGTCCTTGGTGAGGTGCATACCAGTGAGATTCCTCGAGAAAACTCAGACCTCTGACACAGCCATCACCCTAATACCTGTAGTCTCACCCCTCAATACAGGAAGAAGAGTAAGATTATCGTCAGAAGATGACAGACCCCCATGGGAGAGAGTTGGGTGTGGTGGTGCTTGCTTGTAATCTGGCATCAGGAGGCAGAGGCAGGCTGGTCTCTGAATTAGAGAGTTCCAAGCCAGCCAAGGCTCCGCAGCGAGATCCTGTCTTAAAGAGCAAGGACAGAAGACACACCTGACTACTCCCATTTCACTGCAGACGGGACGTTTCCAGTGTGCAAACTGGGAGGGGCTATTGTGTTGGATTAGAAGTTTAGGATTCCACCTGCAGACATCTATACTGTTGGAATATGAGACCTAGTTACCTAAGCAGCGCGGTGGGAGGAGCACAGCCCGGGCCAGCAGCTGCTCAGAGAGCGTGGCCTGGAGTCTGGGTCCTGGAAAGCTGACTGGAGCGTGGGCAGGCCCTGCCCCGGGCTACAGGGGGCTGTGTGGTCTTGCAGAGTAGTGGCTGCACAGAAGTAGAAGCCACACGAAGACGCTCAGCGTCCAGTGCCTTGTATGGCTCTAGGTGTGGAGACCTTGCCCATGGGGGTTGTGCTCACTGGGTCCAGCACATCTGTCTAGCTGTGGCCACCCCAAACCAGCCCCTGCCCCTGGACACATGGGATGCAGAAGCCCTCTGCTCTTGTTCTGGGTATCTTGGTTACAGCCTCCCATTGCTGACCATCTGGGTTGGTAGGGTAGGTGACCCATGGGCATTAGAGACCCCCTTGCTCTAGAGGTTCAGTGCGAGCAGAGAGCAAGTATGGCTGGAGTGGGCTATCACTCTGGCGTCACAAACCTGTGCCCTGTGAGCCCCTTCCTTCTGAGCCTGGTGTCATTTTTCCCCTAAAACTGTGCAAGCAGCCTGAGGTAACTTTTTTTTTTTTGCTCAGCAGGGCCTGTTACCTGGTTAGGGTCAGGGTCTGTCCCTGGGAAGTGCTCCTCGACAGACTGGGACATGTCCTGCAAAGACTTAGACACTTTCCAACCTGTCTCTAGATCCAGTGCCCTGATGAGAGCACAGAGAAAAATGAGGCAGAGAAGTAGGTGGACTCATTTCAGCAGACTGATGAGGCTGCTTTATTGGAATAGTGAGTGGCCCCAGCCTTTCCACAGGATAAAGGTTGAGCGTGCTTAGAGAGGGTGGGACACACACACACACACACACACACACACACACACACACACACACACACACACACACACTGGAAATGGGGTGGTTTGTTTTTGATACCCGAGCATATCCGTTCCTGCAGATGGAATGGAATTGTCAGGCTGGGGCTACATCTTTATGGCTAGGGCCTAATGCCCAGTACAACCAACAACAAACCTCAATTCTTCATGACCAGAGGCTGTTTATTACCCAGAAAGCACAAGACTAGCTGTAAGGTTTCTAGAATAGCACTTGGCAGGCAGGGCAGTAGATAAGGAGGGTCTCCAAGACCGGGCCAATGCTTGGATGAGGCCTGGATGTTACCTGTGCTGGGTAGCCTCCTGCCTTGGTGCATAGGGACCAGCCCACACTTGATCTCTCTGGACCCTGGCTTGCTCTCATATACAGGACTGTAATAGTGTTTCCCTGTTGACCCTCATCCACTAGGTATATAAACAATTCCTTGAGACAGTGGCCTTGGAAGTTGAATTCCTCTTTATCTATAGAATGCATGATTGCTAGACACGTCCTTGGTTTGTTTAAAGGCAGTGTAGTTGCCAGAGCTACAGTTTTGGTTATGTGGCTGCTCTGGGGTCTTTGGGATGGTGGGAGAGATGGGGTACAGAGTGTCAGGACACATTTCAGGTAACACATGGGATGTGTAACACCCATTTAACTTAACTAGGAAGATTTGCCTCTGATTCTGGAAAAGTGGAAACCCAGGGGCAGCCAGATGGATCCTCCTATTGGTTCTTACTATGTCCTGGGCTGGGCTAACAACGTAGGTACTGGAGGGAGCCCCTGGACTGGAGCTCTCCGTACTGCAGGTCCCATTGGCCTGGCCCTTGGCTGCCCTTGCCTTCTCCTTGTCCTCCAACCCTGGCCTGGCATCTGTAATCCAGATGGCAAGAATTGATCCTTTGTTCTCAGGTCACTTCTGATTGAAGCAGAGCTGGGCTTGGTGCCAGCTGTCCAGGCAGCACTAATTGGAGAGGCAAACTAGTAGGCTTGACCAAGCTTGGATCTTCCCCTGCTATCTGTGCGTCTGGATGAGAGGGGCCCCTTCCAATGACACAGTCTTTGTGCCTAGCTTAGCTGGTCTGTGAAAAGGCAGGACCCGGATAGATGAAACTGTTCCCATACAGTTCGTCTCATGGGCCAGCAAGGCCAGTTGGAGATTCCTGCTCCTTCTGGGTAGGGTCATGCTACACTAGACACTAAGACACTATGCTCTAAGCTGCCGTTTCCCTGAGCCTTCGAGACCTTAGTGAGGGGCTGGAGGCCACAGACTTTGTCTCAGGCAGGCTCTAAGTAGAGCCCCTTGGTCACAGGAGTCTGCCCCCTTTGTGTGGCTGGCCATCCCTGTCCAGATCCTCATTCTAGAGGAGCCTGGGGTAGGGGTCACTGATCCGCACTACATCACAAAGTCCTGTCTATTTTCAGGCATGAAGGTAGTTGACCTCTTTTTCCTGCTCAGGTCCTGTAAGTCACTGAGATTCCAGGGCACTGGAACCCCAGCCTGAAAGAAGGGTGCTAATTTGGGGACCCAATGACATGTGTACTGGGCCATTGGCTGCTTCCTGGGCCACTGTCTGTCACTGTGGAGCAGCTAAAGTACCTGAGATGTTTTAGGGGCACACGAGATCCACGCTGATCCATCGTGTCTCTGGTTGAACATGTGTAGCCTGGGCAGGAGGATCTGTGAACGCCTCTGCTAAGGTGAACCAACCCTTACCGTTTCTAGAGTGGGATGTGGGGGAGGGGAGGTGCAGGGCTGAGAACAACCTGATAGAGCCAGTACCACTTATCTGCAGACTCACCTGCTGCTAGCGTGGAGAGCTAATTGGCAGACCCTTGCCCTTTAAGCTCTGGGATGTGTGCTGGCCTTTGAGAATTAGACCTAGCACTTGGCCCTCTGGGGAAGGTTGCTAAAGGACTGTGGCGAGGACTCCACCTTTGTTTTTTTTCCAGGAACCACCTAAGTTTTAGTATTTAATAATTAGGAGGCAATTTACCAGGACATGAAGATACTAAGGTTGAAAAACTGGGAGGGGAAGGGGAAAAACTAACTTCACAGACTAACTGTATAAGCTGTGATAAGAATGCATGCTTTGTAAAACCTATGTACCTCTAAGTCTTTGTTTGGGTTCTACTGCTGCCAGGGTGGTGGCGGCTCACACCTTTAATTCTAGCACTTGGGAGGCAGAGGCAGGGGGATTTCTGAGTTCTAGGCCAACCTGATCTACAAAGTGAGTTCCAGGACAGCTGGGGCTTCACAGAGAAACACTGTCTCAGAAAAAAACAAACAAACAATAAATGTTATAATAACTACAATAAGTACTTAACTGCTTTGTGCACATAGCAGTTAGATGAATGAAGCCATTTGTTTTTCTCTTGGCTTGAGAAAATGATGTTCTGGGTTTCCGTGCGTGAGTCAGCAGCAGGCTTCAACTCTTCTGTGTGGCAGGGATCTTGTTTCTGCCTTTTGAGTTCTACTCCACCCTGGGTCAAGAGGTCAGTGATTTGTTCTGCAGATTGTCGCTATGGCTACTTACTTGATATCCATTCTAGTTGGGAATGGTCTGAAGTTCATCTTTCATCTGTTGCAAGATGTGTGTCCCCACCACTGAGGTGATGTTCTGTGTGGCCTTGGGGTCCTGCTTGGCCGGCTCACTGGTGCTGGCATCTCTTCTTTACCTATCGTCTTAGCCAGGGTTCCGTTGCTGTGAAGAGATGCCACGCCCACAGCAACTCTTATAAAGGAAAGCATTAGTTGGGGCTGGCTTACAGTTTCAGAGGTTTAGTCTATTACTGTTATGGCGGGAGGCAGGGTGGCATGCAGACATGATGCTGAAGAGGGAGCTGAGAGTTCTACATCCAGTTGGCAGGCAGCAGGAAGAGAGAATGACACGGGCCTGACTTGAGCATTTGAAACTCCAAAGCCCACCCTCAGTGACACACTTCTTGCAACAATGTCACACCTCCTAATCCCTGTCAAGTAGCGCTATTCCTTAGTGACCAAGCATCAGATATGTGAGCCTGTGTCATAGTTCTACTCAAACTGTGACACCTATACTTCAGTTTCTCAAGATGCCCCTAGCCACTGCTTCTTGAGACAACACAATTTGGGGGGCCTCTAGTTCTTATTAGCAACTGAACAGGAGCTGCTATGCTGAGGGCAAAGCCCTCAGTGGAAGGGGTTAACAGCTGCCTCCCTCAGTCTCTGATTTCTCTGAATCTGTTCCAGCAGATGTGATGTTTGAATGAGAACACCCCCACATGCTCATGTGTTTGCTTGGTCCTCAGGTAGTGGAACTATTTGGGAAGGATTAGGAGGTGTGGCCTTGTTGGAAGAGGTGTGCCACTTGGGGTGGGCTTTGAGGTTCAAAAGCCAATACCAGGCCCAGTCCCTCCCTCCGTCCCTCCCTCTCTCTCTCCCTCCTTCCCTCCCTCCTTACTACCATCTTGTGAATCAGATGTAAGCTCACAGTCACTGGTCCAGCCCAGTGCCTACCTGCCTTCAGCCCTGCTCCCCACCATGATGGTCCTGGACTGACCCTCTGAAACTGAAAGCAAGCCCCTCCCCCAATTAAATGCTTCCTTTTTTAAGTTGCCTTCATCATGGTGTCTCTTCACAGCAATGGTACCTAAGACAGCATCTCTGGAGCTATGTTCTTGCCCTCTGGGTTCTGAGAGGTCCCAAGATGCTGTCCTTTGGGGACCCATCCCACCCTGGCATACAGCCATCCCTGCATGTCATTGGCCAAAGCAAGGAGGCAAGGTGTCCAGTGTTCTAATGTCTAAAGGCACACGAGGAGGGCAGTGTTCAAGGCTTTCTCATAGGTCAAGAACCACAGCTATCCATGAAGGACAGGGTGGGAGTCACTACCATGGATGGCTGTGACTCTGGGGCACTTGTCATCATCTTGCCAGTTTGTATAGGATGTGTCCAGATGAACTTAGCTCCTTTCCCCACCCCCAACAGGGTTTCTCTGTGTAGTCCAGGCCTGGAACTCCCTCTGTAGGCCAGGCTGGCCTTGAACTTACAGAGATCTGCCTGCCTCTGCCTCCCAAGTGCTGGGAGTAAAGGTGTGCATCACCACTGTCTGACTTGGACTTATCTCTTAAGTGTTAAATATGTTAAACATTTCTCAGAATTTTAATTAATTAGCTAACTGATTAATTAGTTCTGAGGTATGATCTTACTATGTATGTAACCCTGGCTGGCAGAGGTCTGCCTGCCTCTGTGCCTTACCCTGTTTTGTTTTTCTCTCTAAGTAGTCTTGGCTGATCTGAAACTTCGTATGAGGACCAGGCTGGCCTTGAACTCACATAGATCTGCCTGTCTCTGTCTCTTTCAATTTTCCTTCTTATCCTAAGATATTTTTTAAAAAGTCTTTTTTCCTCTTAGTATAAGAAGAAGAAAATATTTCTGGTGTTTGATCACACATCTGCAGAACTATTGGCCCATTCCCAAGTCTCTATTGCCCACAAAAATTAGGGAACATGTGTCTAGACACCCTCTTAGGTCCATCACCACTGGAGCGGCTCCCTCTAAGACCACTGTGGGAGGACTAACATGGAAGGAGGGGAGGAAGGAGAGAATGTAAGCCTAAACAAGAAAATCCTCCTGGGCCAGGCATCCCAGCTGCCAGGGCTCCGCCTAGTGATACAGGAGGAAGAGGCCTACAGAAAGCCAGCTTTTCCTTCTGAGCTTAAGGGAAGTCTGGTTCCTCATTAGGGTACAGCAGTTAAGCCAGGTGACTGGGGTGGGGGTGGGGGCAGAGGGTGGGGCGTGTGGCACCACACCTGAGCCAGTAGGTGAGCTTATGAGGGATTTAAGTTCAGTTTTCACTGAAGCCATGCCCTACCTGGCATGCTGAGAGTGGGCTGTCTCATACTCAAGGCGGTGGGAGGTCTTGACAACGGCTTTCCTGCTCGCTGCTGCTGGAGGCTCTGAGCCAGGATGCTGTCCGTCCTGGGAGGCACACAGAGGTAAGGTGGTAGGGCTCTGGGTGGCCAGCGTCGGTGGGCGCTTGCTTTCCTTCTAGAATAGTTCGAGAAGCTGGCAAAATGTGTTGATGGTTTTTTTTTGTTTTTGAAAGGAAGTTGGCTTGGATTTGGGGAAATCAGTACCGATACTTCCATGAAATCAGTCTTTTTAGATTTTGTTTTAGCCTTTTAATTTTTGTGATACTGAGGATTTAAACCCAGGGATTTCCCTTTCAACTTGTGGCTTGAAGCCAGCACTCAACCATAGAATTATACCTCAGGCCTAGCTTCGCTTGAGACAGGAAAGCATTTTGTAATCTGGAAAGCCCACGCACGAGGAAGCTGCAGCCCAAGTACAGACATTTTGGAGCTGCCTGGATTATTTGGACTGAAGGTTTGGGGGGACACTGGGGTCAGGGACTTACTGGTTTGGTCCAGTGACTTCTGTCCTGTCCGATGGCTGGGTTCCTGCGTTTTTGTAAGATCTGGTCTGTGAGTCCATGCCAGAGTTCCCCTATCCACAGCCATAGAAGTTTGGTGTGAATCATATATGTCTCCCTTCTCATGGACATTGTTGGCTTGTTGTGAAGAACAGGTTCAGAGGTTTCCTAGTTAGTAAGGGGTAAAAGGCACAGCCTTCCGCAAGCTTCAGGGCAATCCGTAGCTTAGGAGTATACCATGCCAGGTTGCCTCTTGGTGGAAGATCTACTGAAAACCTGTGCTCCCTGAGCCCAGGGGAAGTCTCCTTCAGGGACAGAGCTGCTCATGGGAGCCTGTGTGACCTTGTGAATGGTATGTATCTCCACGGAGGAGAGGTGGAGCTTGATGTGGCCGTGGAGTGTGTGTTCTTGTGGTCAGCTGTGACTCACGGTAGGCTATTGGATTCCAGTGTGGGGCTGGCTTTGCAGAGGAGTGGGAAAGTAAGGGAGATTGGCTGCAGTTTGCTGCATGTGGCCGAGTGTGGGTGGGATGAGAACCGAGGCCGAGTGTGGTAGCATGTGCTCGTTGTGTGACAGTTTTTTCTGGGGAGACACAGCATGTCTACTCACTCCAGATAGGGAGCCCAAGACAGACTAAAGTGGGGGTACTACAAAGTCCAACTTGGTCAACCAGTGTGTCTTATTGGGGTCACAGGAATTTATTACAGGAATATAGGTGAGGGTTATTTATGGGAATAGAAACGACCCAAGGACAGATGTATCACCAAGCCCACCCCAGCGTGGGTGACAGCTCCCAAGGCTGGGAACCTGGAGCCTGCTGCACAGCCTGCAGGCAGCTCAACAGCTTGGAGAGGGTCCTTTCCAGGAATCACAGGAAAGCCTGGCTTGTCATTCAAACAGGCTCTGGAGTCTAATGGCTGGTTCCCAAGTAGATGGCAAACTGTTTTGTTCGTGGAGGTCTCCTGGCATATTGTAGATCTGTGTCCATGGAACCTGACTGGCTGAGAGATAAATGACCCCTCCTGCAGCTATGTCTAGGGGTGTAGGGGAGACATGGAGAGGGTGGTATGAATCCATTCTGATAGGAACGACAGTCCTTGGGAGTTTCCATGTCTTTTGTGGAATAACTCCCTCATTGCAAGAGACTAACAGGAAGAGGGCTATTGTCCACAGATCCACCTGCCTACCTTTTAGAAGGTGTTCATGTGTGGCACATGAAACTGTCTGATTCAGGGATGCCCATCCTTCCGGATGACTGGCCAGTGATACATGCTCTGGGTCTCCAGGTGGTCCTAAATTGCTCTCGCCTATACTGGAGAGTATAGGCAGGTCACCCATTGGCATGGCAGGAAGCTCTGGGGCTGACAGTTTGTCTTTAGGGCCAGCGCCAAATAGGTTGAGGGTGGGGTAGAGGTGCCGCAGCTGGGAAGAGCAGAGGTCTAAGCATCTGGGAAGGTGTGTGGTGCATACATTCTTACAAGTAGCTTTGCCTATTGCCTCTCTGCCTAGGTATCTCAGACTGGGCAGGGTTTAACACCAGAGCATCTAGGTGGGCCAGGTTAGAACTGTGCAGAGTTTTCTCATACTCCCAGGACATCAAACCATTTGCTTCTTTCCAGGAGCAATCCTTGTTGCCCAGTGCATGGCCACCATCAGGAGCTAGCTCGCCCCTGTTCTCTGCTGTCCTCTGGGCTCTGCAGGCAGACGTCGTGACTACTGTTTCTCTCTAAGTCATGTTGGGATCTATGAGAGTTAGGGCCTCAGTCTTTCACAGCTTCTCCAGTGAAGGCAAGGCAGGGCAGGGTGGGGGACCAGGTGCTTGGGTAAAAAGACTTGACAGTTTGGTCCGAAGTCATTCCGGTATTGTTTGTCCTGGTAGTTTACCAGAGCCTGACAGCCACACGGGGAAAGGAAACGAGAACATTCCACTGGAGAAGTGAACTGGAACATTGTGGGGACTCTCTTCTCCAGGAAGCAACTGCCTTACCCACCTCCCTCCTCTATTCCAGCTAACCCATTCATTAAAGTCACTCAAGCTTGGCTTGAGTGATTTAGTAGCGGGTAGGGTGACATTGTTGATGTTCAGATGGGCTCTGTACCTGCTTTGGTATTTGAGGCAACTGGATCACAAGATCCCTTTATACTGGCACCTGTGACCATTCCCAGCAGGCCAGAGGAGGGATGGGTTTCATGGCTCCCAATGCCATGTCCTCATCTTGGTGGAAAGGTCTTGATTCTAAGAATGGAATGAGACACTCGAGCTGTGGAAGAAGGGGAAGTGGAGGGCTTGAGAGTATGCCTGGGGGACCAAGGCTTAGGACTGTGGGGGGGGGGTGGAAGATGGTGTCCATGTAGGGATGCTTGAGAATCATGGGAAATGTGCCCCTCATGTCCATAATATTTTTTGAGGGGGTGTGGATTTTCAAGACAACGTTTCTCTGTAACATCCCTGGCTGTCCTGGAACTCGCTTTGTAGACCAAGCTGGCCTCAAACTTATAGAGATCCACCTGCCTCTGCCTCCTATGTTCTGAGATTAAAGGTGTGTGCTACCACGAGGGACCATACCCATGTTCTTGACATGCACAGTCCTTGGTCCTCAGACTAGATGACTCTAAAGCACCAGTGTCACTCTAAGTTTGTCCAAGGCCCCGCTGGAAAACTGAGGCAGCCGCTGGTACAAGTTTACTGGCTTCATCTATAGAAAAATTAGGGCCAGCAAAATAGCTCAGGAGGTAAAAGTGCTTCCTGGCCAGCCTGAAAACCTGAGTTTAACTCCCAGGATCCACGTGGTGGAAGGAGAGAGCTGCCTCATGCAGATTGTCCCCTGCCCTTCATATGTATCCCATAGCATGCATGCATACATATGTGCAATAAATAAACAAACAAATAAATAAATAAATACATGTATGTAGTGAATTTTTTTTGTTTTTGCCAGACAGGGTTTCTCTGTATTGTTTTGTAGGCTGTTGGTCCAGCCCGGCCTCGAACTCACAGAGATCCGCCTGCCTCTGCCTCCCGAGTGCTGGGATTAAAGGCGTGCGCCACCATTGCCCGGCTAAATTTTTAAAGGAAAAATAAATGTCTATCATTGCAGCTGGAAGCTGGCTTGTGACTTGGAGCCAGGCACCAGATGGTCTTGTGTCATGGATATATTCAGGGAGATGGATGTCCTAGTAAAACAGTGATGGCCTTGTGGAGCTGGCAGGAGGCTTGTGGAGGTTTTATAAACATTCATCTTGGGGGGTGGCAGAAGGATTCACAGTGGAAAGATTTTTTGTTGTCATTGTTTTTGTTTGTTTGTTTGAGACAGGGTTTCTCTGTGTAGCCCTGGCTGTCCTGGAACTCACTCTGTAGTCCAGGCTGGTCTTGAACTCAGAGATCCACCTGCCTCTGCCTCCTGGGTGCTGGGATTAAAAGTGCGCATGATCACCATTCTGCTCACGGTGGAAAGTTTAGGTCAATGCTCTGAGAAAGAAGGAAAGAGTTCCTTTTGCTTTCTGCACATGAGAATCAAGGTTTATTTTTAAAAATGAAGTTCCTGTTCATCCTCATGCAGAGGACTGGGCTGGGTTCTGGGTCTTGGACTGTGGCTTCTCTAGCCTCAGCTCAGGGAGGGAGGGCTTGTGGAGGGTTGTGGGCTGTGCTGAAGCAGGGGCAGGTGGTAGGCTTGGTGCCCTCTTCGGCTTATGATTTGGGAGCCCTGGGCCTTGAGCTGTCTGCGTGTAAAGGCTCGTTCCTGACAAGTCATATGACAGATGGTTAGTGGGTGCTGGAATTTTATGAATCCGAGAGGAGGCCAGTAAAAGGCATCGAGTTTAAGGAAGGGTTTTTATGTGGAAGAACCAACCAATTGATAGCCAGGGAAGAGCAGAAGGTGAGCTGTCATCTGACTGTGTTCCTCACTGTCCTTATCAGGTGTGGGGGGGGTCACACTAACTACACGAGGCTGTAGACCATCTGGCCTCATGCAGACACCTCCCCAGGGAGTGCTAACCACGACACAAGAAACTATTGACTTGAGATGGTGTCTAGTTGGTTTTGGGAAGACTGATGCTCTCTAACTCAGTGAGTTAGTCCTTGCTAGGTCTTGCCTTGTATGCAAGCTCAGCCTGGAATGGCTTGACCCTGTTTCCTCTCTCCTTCCCTTCTGACCTAGACCAGCAGGTCATTCTTCAGGGACTGGCCCCTGAGGGGAATGCCTGGAGATGAGAGAATGAAGAAGGCAGGAAAGTTGGAAGCCGGGGATCTTGCATAAACTGATGGATCATGACAAGCATGTTTGTTAAGAAGTGCAGCATCTTATATATTGTCTGTAGGGGGGCATTGCATGGAGTCAGCAAAAGGCTATCATGCAATGTTGGGCAAAGGGAACACAGTCTATCTCAAGAACAGCAAATGCCACAGACCAGCACTCAGTGGCAATGAGGCTGAGAACCACAGCCCTTCAAGGAGGGGGAAAACTGAGTTCCCAGGATCTGAAACCATAGCCTCCCCAAGGTCCTGGTCTCAGGTCATTACTGGTCTTGCCAAGTATGTTCTGGATTTAGACAACGGACTGACTCTTGGAACACACAGCACTATGGATCCATAGCTGAGCCTCAAGCCACAGGGTGTTGGTGGGTTTTCACGTATGGGTGAGAGGTGGGTGTGTTATAGGGCCCCTCCCTGCCAGCTGCTATGGGTCTGCTCTCAAAGGATGCACGGTGGAGAGGTGGTCAGGCAGCATCCACCTGGGAAGGACAGATGCCTTGGGACACGTGATGACACTTGTTTGCTCTGCACATAAAAATTGTGAGCATCACCTCTCAGGGTGAGTGTCTGAAACTCCTGCAGTCGTCATCAAAGCTAAGGGAGGGTGCCCAGGTCCTGGCAGGTGCTGGAGACAGCTCGCAGAGGCCTGGAATCCTATCTATTCTGCCGCCCACTTAAACTGTGGGCACCGTCTGTTTTAGGTCATGTGGTGTGGGGGGCACTGTAATGTCGGGAGAGTTTCACACCCTTCGGTATCTATCAACGTGTCCTCCCAGAGTGTGTCAGAGAGCACAAAAATCCCATCAAGATCCTGTTTCTAGGGAGAGAGGGGCCAGTGGGATGCCTGGGAGCCTGGGGAGCAGGTGCCTCCTCACAGAGCAAACAATGAGTCTGTTCACTGGAAAACCAGACCCAGACACTGAGAGGTGAAGGAATATACACCCTGGGTGTCTAGGTGGGTTGCCAAAGAGTCAGGAAAATAACCCCAAACCAAGATCTCTGAGAGTAGGAAGAGACGGTTTTCTAATACTCTACTGCATGTCCAGGGGTGTCCTGGACCACAGTGGCTGTGCTTCATATGATGGCTCTGTGTCCTGGGTTGACACGGCCTATGAATCAGGACCCAGCAGAGGCCTGCCCTCCAGGCAGCTCTGGAACCCCAGTATACTTTTCACTGTGGCTTGAGGCAGAGGCAGAGGCAGAGCAGCAACAAATCCCCCGAAATGCTTCAGCAGGCAGAATACCAGACACACCCTCTCCGTCCCCACACGCCCTCTCCGTCCCAAGATGCCCACTTGCCAGCCAGCTGCCTGATGTAGCCCCTCCCCCACACAGGGAGGCTTAAGCAGTCCTTTTGGTGATTTGGAAGCTAGAGAAGGAAGCATGTGTGTGTGTGTGCGTGCGTGCGTGCGTGTGTGTGTGTGTGTGTGTGTGTGTGTGTGTGTGTGTGTGATGTGTGTGTAGGTGTGTGTGTGGTGTGTACATGTGTGTGGTGTATGGGTGGTGTGCATGTGTGTGGTGTGTGTGTATGTGTGTGGTGTGTATGCTTATGTGCATGTGTGGTGTGTGTATGTGTGTGCTGTGTTTGTGTATATGTATGTGTGGTATGTGTGTATGTGTGTGTATGATGTGTATGTGTGATATGTGTGTATGTGTGTGGTGTGTGTATGTGTGGTGTGTATGTTTATGTGTATGTGGTGTGTGTGTGGATGTGTGTGTGTAGGGTGTATGTGTGTATGGTGTGTGTGGTGTGTATTTATATATATGTATGTGTGGTGTGTGTGTATGGTGTGTGTGGTATGTTTGTGTGGTGTGTGTATGTGTGTAGTGTGTATGTATATATGTATGTGTGGTATGTGTATGGTATTTATGGTGTGTGGTGTGTATACATATGTTTGTGTGGTATGTGTGTATGTGTGTGGTGAGTGTGTATGGTGTGTGTGGTATGTGTATGTGTATGTATATATGTATGTGTGGTGTATATATGTGTGTGGTGTGTGTGTACGTGGTGTGTTTGTGTGGTGTGTATGTATATGTGTATGTGTAGTGTGTGTATTTGTGTGTATGGTATGTATGTGTGATGTATGTGCATGTGTGGTGTGTGTGTATATATGTATGTGTAGTGTGTGTATATGTGTGTGGCATGTGTGTATGATATGTGTGTGGTGTGTATGTATATATGTGTATGGTGTGTATGTCTGATATGTGTGTATGTGTGTAGCGTGTGTGTATGGTATGTGTGGTGTGTATGTATATATGTATGTGTAGTGTGTGTGTATTTGTGTGTATGTGTGTGGTGTGTGTATGGTGTATGTATATATGTATGTGTGGTGTGTGTGTGTTTTCCAGGGGAGGGAGCTCTCTCTGTCCTCACAGGACAGGTTGGGTGGAGACAGGAAGCAGGCTCTGTGGCTGTCTTCTCATCAGGACACTAATTCCGATGTTCCCGTTTCTGTCATTTTCCAATGCCCATCTCAAACTGCTTTCCTATTGGGGTTTGGGGCCTTAGCATGGGGCTCAGTCCATGCATCTACCGTGCAAGGTCCCCTTCGCAGCTCAGGGACTGGGAACGGCCTATAGCCCCCAGCCCTAGGAGCTCCAGGTTCTGAGATGAGCAGCCCTGGGCACCGTGCTCTGGCTTGCAGGTTGTCACAGGACTCCTTGTCGAACAGCGGGTGGGGCTGTGTATCCAAGAGGCACTGAGCTGCTACTGCCCACAGGTCCTTCCGGGTGGCACTCTTGTTCCTGGTGCTGGTTGTGTTCCTGATGGCTGGCTTCCTGCACGTGGACTTCCAACTGCTTACACCGTAAGTCCTGTGCAGGTGTCTCATGCTCTGGGACCCCAAGAGCACTGGCAAGACTCATCCTGTCTTCTTTAAGAACACCAGCACTCGCTTCGCCACTGAGGTCTTCTCTGAGAGAAAGTGGTGAGCTAGGCTTGTTCTGGGCCCGCCTCCTGTGACGACAAGCCCACTGCGAAGGCTTCTGAGGAGGCTCTGGGAGGCAGGCTTGGCCAGACCAGCCTGGTCCGGGAAAGGGACTGAGCAGAGCTGGGTCTACAGTAGGAACCTTGGGAAGGCTACCTCCTGAAATGGCCTGGGTTCTAGCATGGCTTCTAGGTGGTGAGGTCACAACTGTACTCCTTTGTCACCAGGCCCCAAAGCACTCGCTCCCCTACCTGCCAGGACTACATCAGCCAGAGAGCGGCCATCTGTGCCCCCTTGCACAAGCAACTGCCTTTCAGGCCAGGGATTTCCCCAGGATTCTGGGATGGTCTTATTTTCATGTCCTTCATGTATCCTCTGGTTGGGTTTGTATGACAGGGAGGGGTAAATTTTCCTCTGAAAAAACATATTGTCCCAAGGTTCACTAGATCCCGCCCCTCACCATCCTTGTCAATCTTATGGCTTACATTAACACAAGAAGGTGCGGGCTGGAGAGATGACTCAAAGAGCATTGGCCGCTCTTCCAGAGGACCAGGGTTCAATTCCCAGCTCCTACACGGCAACTCACAACTGCCTGTAACTCAAGTTTCAGTGGATCTGACTCCTTTACATAGACATACATGCAGGCCAAATACCAATACATATATATATATATATATATATATATTTAATAAAAATATATTTAAAAAGACAAGAAGGTGCCTGGTGACTAGGCCACCTGTTAGGCTGGCTGACCTTGTCTGAGGTCACAGGGCCACTGACACACGGGGTGCCCTGGAAGACAGCAGGTTTGGGTGCCTAGGGGAATGCTTGGGGTCTGAGGTGTGAGTTTATGGCTTGCGTGAGAACAGAATGTGCAGAAAGCACAGCTGTTGAGGATATCTTGCAAGGGGAATACCATGTCTGTCACAGACAAACCCCCTGGACGGCAAGATGGCGGGGAGGTAGAGTTGAGGTGAGGACCCAACACTGGAAGACGGTGAGAAAAATGGTGTAGGGACCCCATGTTGAGGGGTGCTTCTTGGATGTTGTTGAGGGTGTGTGGCCCCTTTATTGATGGTGGTGTACACGGTCTCTCCTAGTCTGCTCAGGGACAAGGCCCAGGAACCGCCAGTCACCAACATCATGTTCCTGAAGACGCATAAGACAGCCAGCAGTACAATGCTCAACATCCTCTACCGCTTTTCCGAGGCTCACAACCTGTCAGTAGCGCTGCCCAGGGGCTCCAGCTTGCATCTGGGTTACCCCTGGCTTTTTGTGACCCGGTATGTGGAGGGCATGAAGCAGGATGGCAGCCAGAATCATCACTTCAACCTCATGTGTAACCACCTGCGGTTCAACTTCCCTGAGGTGGGAAACGCGGAGGTGGGGGGACGGGAGGGCTGGGGTTGCCTTGCTCCGAGCCATGGCATTCCGTGTGCAACTGTGGCGCTTACAGGGGTGGAGACAGGGGCGGGTACAGAGTCGGTGGAGGGGTCGTTCGAAGTTGCAGGGTTGGAGGGGTCTGCCCGTAGACCCTGTCTTCAAGCTGCCAGTGACTCTCGGCATGAGATGTGTAGCCCCAACGCTTGAGGGAATCCCAACGCACCCTCACGTGCCCGAATTTCTGGTTCTGGAAGAACACACTGGGCTTTTGTTGCCTCGGAACCTTTGTACTTGCTCCTGCCGTGTAAGGAAGAGGCTCTAGCTCTGTTGGCAGGAGCTGGGACAGGCGGGGATTGGGGTCTTTGTGGGCAGCTGTCCATCTAACAAGGACTCTTAGACCCATCTTCCCCGTCTCCAAATAGGTGCAGAAAGTCATGCCCAATGACACTTTCTACCTGTCCATCCTACGAAACCCGGTTTTCCAGCTGGAGTCTTCCTTCATCTACTACAAGAACTATGCTCCTGCCTTCCGGGAGGTCAAGACCCTGGACCAATTCCTGGCAGATCCGTGGAAGTACTACAAAGTCAGCGATGGCCTGAAAAACGTCTACGCGAAAAACAACATGTGGTTTGACTTTGGCTTCGACAACAACGCGCCGGCTGAGGTGGACTACGTTCGCTCGTGCCTCTCGGAGGTGGAGCGCCAGTTCCATCTGGTGCTCATTGCGGACCACTTCGATGAGTCCATGGTGCTGTTGCGCCGACGGCTGCGCTGGCAGCTGGATGACGTGGTCTCCTTCAAGCTGAATGTACGCAGCCCGCGCACCGTCTCGCGCTTGACGGAGGAGAGCCGGGAGCGTGCCAAGCGCTGGTGCGAGCTGGACTGGCAGCTCTACCAGCACTTCAACCGCACGTTTTGGGCCCAGCTGCACACGGAGGTGAGCCCACAGCAGCTCAGGAGAGAGCTGGAGCAGCTGCGGGCGAGGCGCCGCGAGCTCACCGCCCTGTGTCTTCAGGACCCAGAGCACAAGAACAAGACGCAGATAAAAGACCGGAATCTGCGCCCCTACCAGTCTGGAAATGCGGAAATTCTGGGCTACAACCTTAAGCATGGTCTGGACAATACTACACTGGGCATCTGTCAGAGGATGGCAATGCCAGAGCTCCAGTACATGGCCCACTTGTACTCGCTGCAGTTTCCCAACAACCCCCCCAAGAACATCCCGTTCCTGAAAACGTAGGGGTTTGGCCAAGTGACCCTTTCTCCCCAGATCTCCCTGGGAGCCCTAGAGTTTGCCAGCCTACCTTTCCAAAGTGAAGAACAGAGTGTGAAACCTCTGTGTAGAGACCCACCCATCCCCAGCGCTGGGGAGAGGGTCCTACACCTAAGACAATCGGCACAGCTGGACCATAACTGAACCCACCCATTGTAGAGACATGTCCTGGACAGGCAAGGATGCCAGTGCCCTCTAATTGTCGGTCCACAAGGAGGAGTCAGTCTAAACAGCCCATCAGGTGAACAGCAGCCTCGGGGTTAGCAGGGGCTTAGGCAGTGGGCCTGGCGATCCACGTAGGGCCTCAGAACAGTTCCTTGGGATTTTCCAGCCGCATGGACTCAGCACTGGCCACAGAGCCATGCCTGTATAGGGTACCCGGGCAGCAGCTCTAAGGTGGGCCCCGGTGAGATGGGATGAATATTCGGCCTCCCATCTCTGACTTTATGAAGAACAGTGTAGACGGGGATGTGAAAGTTTCTGGTTAGCCTGAACACTTTGTAGCTTCCCACTGGAAATCCTGAAGGAGAAAGTGTCTCACTTGACAAAGGAGGGACTCAGGTACCTTTGGTTGCCTTGGAAACCATGTTGTATATAGCCTCAGGGATCTTTTTTTGTGTGTGTGTGCCTCTTTTTGTCATTTGTGGAGAGATTCTAAGCCCCCAGCCCCCAGTTCTGGTAGGATGAGGAACCTGGTTACCTGGGCACACAACCCCAGGTAGTCTAGCAAAGTGCCTGGGGTCTTGGGAAGGTTGCCACTGTCACACACTCAGCCTGGAGCTTCAGTTTGAGCCTCATTTGTTGAGTTTGGGTGGAGGCATTTCTCTGGGCAAGAGCTACTTTGGACAGCAATTTAATGGCAGCCCGACAAGAAAAGTAGTTGTCAGTGAGTTTAGAGCTGGTAAAACGAACTAGTCAATCCAAAAGAGCACTGTAAATTGAAGAATGACTTTTCCAAACTGAATAGAGATAGTCAAGAATGCCAGGCATGGTGGCACAGGCCTTTAATCCCAGCACCGGGGAAGCAAAGGCAAGTAGATCTCTGAGTTCGAGGCCAGCCTGGACTACATACTGAGTTCCATGATGTCCAGGGCTACAAAACAAGATCCTGTCTCAAAACAAAACAAAACAGAAAACCATAAAAAAGAGAAGAAAACACAACCAACTAAAACCAAAACCAAACCTCTGAATTTAGACAAAATTACTCTTAATACATTTGGGTCCTCTGGAAGAGTAGGAAGTGCTCTTAGCCTCGGCTCTTTAATTAGAACTCTTCATTCACAGTAGACTTAATACTTTTTCTTTTTGTCAGTTGTGGAGATTGGTCTCAGGAGCTCAAGTGTGCTAGGCAAGTATTCTAACACTGAGCCATGTCCCTAACTGTGAAACCCTAATTTCTAGGAAAGACTCAGGGAGAAAGCAACATTTAGTTGTCTCTTTCATTCATATGTAAGTATATAAAACAATTGAATATATGAGAGAATTGAATGTTGTCATATATGTGTGTTTGTGTGTGTGAGCAATTCATGATAATATTTTGTTTCTTTGAACATACGCTTTCTGTTAGGGAAAAATGTTCTTTATGTAAAATAGGATATGTTTGTTTGTAGACATACACACACACACACACGTATTGTATTTTCTTAGAATATAAGAAGCCAAGAGTACTTGAATTATTGTCAGCAAGTGATATCTCATCATTTTAATGTACTTAGGAATGACTCATGAGTTTCTATGACTTAATTTAAAATTTTCATAAGCATGAATTCCATTTCATTCAAACTTTATTTTTTTATAATTATACCTAGGTTAGATAATGAAAATTAAGTTACTAGACAAGCAAAAATTTGCTTCTTATTAAAGACCCTACCCAAGGTCTAATCATTGTCCCAAAACATAGGAAGCAATAATGGGCACTGCCCTATACTCTAGTCTATGCTTCTTCTGTTCATGCGAAAAACACAACTCTCACCTCAAGGGGATAAGAGATAGTTTATCCTGGAGCCAAACATGAGTGATCATGGCCCAAGAACACCAATTTAGGTTACCTTGAATTCCTGTCCCTACCTGATAACAGTTTGATGATGTTTTCACAGTAGCAGAACAAATAAAGTCATAAATTAAGGCACTTTAAAAATACATCGGTGGAAATACTAGGTAGATGGGTTCCAGAAAAATGAGGAAATCTCCGCCACAGGCCTCACATCCTGGCTGATGACATTCTGAGCCTTTGGGGTGGTGAGAGCCAAGGGTCTGTTTCATTGCATTCCGAAAGGTTTTACCTGTTAGTCACAAGGATGTTAGATTGGACACAGAGATGGGCAAGATGCCGCTAAGGTGCCTGTGCTGGCTAGTTTTATGTTGACCTGTCATGAGCTAGAGTCCTCTGAGAGGTGGGAACCTCAGTTGAGAAGATGCCTTCAGCTGTAGGGCATTTTCTTAATTAGCGATTGATGGTGGAGGGGGAGGCGGGCCATCCCTGGGCTCCTGGTCCTGGGTTCTATAGAAAGCAGGCTGAGCAGTGCAGGGGGTGGGCATCCTCCATGGCCTCTGCATCAGCACCGGTCCAGCTTCTCATCCAGTTTGAGTTCTTGCCTTCACTTCCCCCAATGAGCCGTGATTCAGGGTGTGCATGCCCTTTTCTCCCCAACTCTCTTCTCCCCTTTCATCACAGCAACGGAAGCCTAATCATCACAGGGGCTCAAGATAGCTCAGGGCAAAGTCGAAGCAACCCAACCTCTCACTGCTCAAGGTCTATTAAGTTAATCTGCTTTGGAGGAAATTTACTCTTTGCTGTCACATTTTGTGTGCCAAGGAGCCACATAGCTTTGATGTCTCACGCCCTATAATCTGATGTAGATGAAGCTCAGTAGTACACGGAAGGGCAGTCTTCAGGAGAGGAATAGCAGGTAAAGCCACTAAGCAAGAACTCCTGGCCGGGCGTTGGTGGCACACCCCTCTAATCCCAGCACTCAGGAGGCAGAAACAGTCAGATTTCTGTGAGTTCAAGGCCAGCCTGAGCTACAGAGTGAGTTAGTTCCAGGACAGGCTCCAAAGCTACACAGAGAAACCCTGTCTTGAAAAACAAAACAAAAAACAAACAAAAAAACTCCTGGATTATATCATTAAAACCTACTAGTTATTATGACCCAGTTTTGTTTTTATAAAAAGATCCTCTTTATTTGACCTAGTGTGTGAAATATAATAGGAGTAACATGCCTAAAATTAAGATAATCAGGAACACTGCCCGACTTAATGGATTGAAGGTGGTAGATGAGGGAAATAGACATTTTAAACAACCCAAATTTACATATTTTAAAACTAGATTAATGAGAGACATTGAAGACTTCTGCGACACCCCCCCAAAAAGAAATAATCCTGACAAGAAGCTATTAAAGAGAGTCCTTCAAAACTGTGATAAAGAAGCTGAAGTATATTAGCTCTTCACAGCTGATGGCTTCTGGGGGACCGTGGGGAAGGACTCAGTTTTCTTTAAGGGGCTGGCCACTGAGAGTTTCCCCATGTTCCAGTGAGTATATGGGCAGTACAAATTGGATTCTGTGTTTTGTTTTGTTTTTCAGGGGGGCATTTTAAGCTTACAGAAGAGATTTCCCCACTTTGCTCTAACTAGTTTATGTAATGCTTCTATCAGTGTATTTGAAAAGTGCCATCATTTACAACTGTTTTTGTACTGTCACTCTAAATTTTTTTTTAATCAAACTATTGTCACATTGTAACATGTTATTTGGGGTACCCTAAATCTGTGTGTTGCAGGCATGGTTAGTCATATTTGCCTCCAAAATAAACTATGTCTTTTTATAAAGTTTTACTTTATGTGTTTAGGTGTTTTGCCTGCTTGTATGTCTGTGCTGGCACCTGTGTATCTGAGGAGGTCAGAGAGAGCGTGGGATCACCTTGAGCCACTTTAGACGGTTGTGATCTGCCATGTGAGTGCCCCCGGGGCTCCTTGGGGGAGCAGCTAGTACTCTTAACTGCTGGTCCTTTTTCCAGTCCCAAACTATGTCATCTGAGGTGAAGACTGTGAGTTTTGTATCGACTATTATGAAACCGGAACATGGGGCCTTGAGAATTATCTTCTTTTCATCTGAGGGATTACTGGATGGGAGGCAGGTACTGGCGACGTGGGTAAGTTCTTTCTGGGACTCTGAGCTCTCCGTCTGTGGTTTGTTCTGGGCTGGTTGTTTAGGAACCTATTTGGTAAATACTTTTTTTCTTTCTTTTCTAAACATTTGATTTACATTCTCTGTGGTGGTTCAATGAGGATGGCTCATAGATTTGAATATTTGGTTATTTGAATATTAGGTGCTTTTTCTCAAACGGAAAGCAGGGAGATCTTATGGGTTGTAGGCAAGGGGTGATGACGTGTCCACCACAAGCCGGGTTTGTGCCTAAGTATGGTCAAAAACCGAGGGCTTAGGTGGGGACTTGGGCGGCTGGCTGGGAGGAAGCTGCAGTAGCCACTAAGAATGTAGAACTGGGCATTAGTCACCTTTCCTTTGTTCAGGGACTCTCTAAGTGGGCCAGAGAGGGGGGCGCAGAGAGAGGCTTTCTGAATCATGCAGGGGTGAGCTGGAGATTCCAACCAAACATCATCAGGTCACTTAGACATTTCACAGGCCCATGTGGAGGCCTCTCCTCTCCTCTCCTCTCCTCTCCTCTCCTCTCCTCTCCTCTCCTCTCCTCTCCTCTCCTCTCCTCTCCTCTCCTCTCCTCTCCTCTCCTCTCCTCTCCTCTCCTCCCCCCTCCCCTCCCTTCCCCTCCCCCTCTTCCCATCCCTCCCCTCCCCTCCTCTCCTATCCTCTCCTCCCTTCCCCTCCCCTCCCTTCCCCTCTCCCTCTTCCCATCCCTCCCCTCCCCTCCTCTCCCCCTCTTCCCACTCCTCCCTCTCTGTCTCCATCTTGTGAATCAGGTGTACGTTCTCAGCTTCCGCCACAGCAGCTCTGCCCCCACCACAGTGATCATGGACTAATCTGAAACTGTAAGCAAGCCCACAATTAAATGCCTTTAAAAAAAGCTGCCTTGGTCGTGGTGTCTTTTCACAGCAATGGAACAGTAACTAAGACATTGTCTATTTTATTTATGTTCTTGTGAGCACTTTTTGTTTCAGACCATTCAGTTTGCTTTTTATTTGGTTGCAGACTTAGACTTCAGTAGATACGTAGTTTAGTTCTGGTGCGGTCAGTATCACCTTCTCCCACCTTTCCAGACACCCCTCCCATATCTAATCTAGAGGAGGAGGAAATGTTTGGAGAAAAACAGATTGTTTGGTATTCCAGCCAATTTTATGTTAGATTCCTGTTTGAGTCAATTTGAAAGTATTTTTAAAAGATGGAAAAAAAATCCAGCAAGATTCACTATTTTTTTTTTTTTTTGAGACAAGGTATTGCTTTGGAGTCTGTCCTGGAACGTGCTCTGTAAAAAACAGAAATTTACTTCTGTTTTTTTGTGCTTAACAAAACATAAGGCTGCCTGGTGGTTGCACACGCCTTTAACCCCAGCACTCGGGAGGCAGAGGCAGGCGGATCTCTGTGAGTTCGAGGCCAGCCTGGTCTACAGAGTGAGTTCCAGTATTGCCAGGACTGTCCACACAGAGAAACCCTGTCTCAGAAAAAAAAATAATTAAAACAAAACAGAAGTCTAGAAGTCCTGGGCAATAAAAAAAATCACAAATGGGTGGCCTACTTGAATTAAGAGTTAAAATGGAGACTGGATGCTCCAGGAAGTGAATTTTTGGATTGTTCCCGGTCAGGCTCTTTTCTTGTTGCAGCCTCCTGCCCCCAGCAGCCTTCTTGCCAGACTTCTCCAGCTCTCGTTCTCCTTTGCACCCCTGCATTGGCTTACGGGTGCACCCCTCCGCCAAGCCAGGCCGTGGACACTGTGGACTTGGGGAAGCGGCAGAGAATAGAATAGATGCCCCTGCCGACGGGATGCGAATGAGTGAAATGGGGGAGCAGGAGGCTGACAATGATGAAGAAGAAGAGGACGCTGGGGAGGAAAAGGAGGACCGTGATGGCGAGAAAGAGGATGGAGGCGAAGATGAGGCAGTCGAGGCAGCTACGGGCTTGTGGGCAGCTGAAGGTGGCCAAGAAGAAAAGACCCATGAGGAGGACTAGACGGCAGGAAAGGAAATGTTAGCCTTAAAGGGCCACTGTGACCTGGTCAACCCCCTGCTGCTGGTCTCAGACTCTGGTGGTCACCTCTGCCTAGAGGGGCAGATCCCACTGTCTGCCTGTAGGGGCGGTGCTGCCCACAGATGACCAGATTGAGAATTTGCAACAGGGAGGAAAAAAGAACCCAAACTTCCAAGAGCCTGCCCCTGCCAACGCCAACACGTTTTAAAAAGAGGGGATGGACAGATGGTGCAGACGTTAAGAGCACTTTCTACAGAGGGCCTAGTCGTGGGGTACCTAGTACTCACATGGCTCACTGGCATCTGTAACTCCAGTTCCAGGGGATCTCACACCCTCTTCTGGGCTCAGCACCAGGCACACACGTGGTGCACATACATGCAGTCAAAACACTTGTACACATGAACAGAATAAACACACCTTTAAAAAAAGTATCCTAAAAGGAAATTTTGTATTTCTTGTTTACATTTTATATTTTGTACATATTGTTAGGCAGCAGCTACTTTTTTTTTTTTTTTTTTTTTGGTTTTACGAGCCAGGGCTTCTCTGTATTGTTTTGGAGGCTGTCGGTCTAGCCCAGCCTCGAACTCACAGAGATCCGCCTGCCTCTGCCCCGAGAGTGCTGGGGGCAGCAGCTACTTTTAATGATAATAGGTAACCAGCCCAGCTTTAGGGGCAACAATAAGTCCTCCCCCTTCTTCCTTTGACATTCTGAGACAGGGTCTCTCTACACAGCCCTGGCTGGCCTGGAACTCACTGCGTAGACCAGGTTGGCCTCAACCTCACAGAGATTGGCCTGCCTCTGCTTCCAAGAGCTGGGAAAAAAGGCGTGTTCCACCACACCCAGCTCTATGTTCCACTTCTGATTTTACTTGTGTTCATTATAATCTCAAAGGAGGAAAAAAAAAACACCTTGAAGAAAAGAAAGTGGAGCAGCAACAACAAAACCGTATTATGGGCATTAAAGTAACCTCTTTTGGTTCACATACCCTACTGGAAGTAGTTGGCTTGTATGATATAGTGATGAAAGACAAATCTGGAAGCTTTCTTTTTTATATATGAAGTTATTGTTTAATTTTTAGCCTGCTTGATATATGTGTGAAACAATCCCCAATAGTAAACTCAACTTACTCTGTCTTTAAAAAGTATTGATTTACTTTTATTTATGTGTTTGAGATTTTGCCTCTGTGTGTGTGTGTGTGTGTGTGTGTGTGTGTGTGTGTGCGTGTGCGCGTGCCTCGTGCCCACAGAGGCTAGAAGAGGGTGCTGAATGCCCTAGACATGGAATTATAGATGGCTGGGAACTGGCATGTGGGTGCTGGGAACTGAACCTGGGTCCTCTGCAAGAGCACTAAGTGAATTTAACCCCTGGTCTATCTCTCCAGCTTCAATAAACCAGATTTTTATTTTGGTGGAAAAAAAGAAAACCACCAATATGATAAAACTGGTAATTTATAAGAGTTAATAGAAGCTTTAAGCCCAGTGTTGGTGGCACACTCCTTTAATCCCAGCACTCAGGAGGCAGAGGCAGGCGGATCTCTGTGAGTTGGAGACCAGCCTGGTATACCGAGCGAGTTCCAGGACAGGCTCCAAAATAATACGGAGAAGCCGGGCGGTGGTGGTGCAGGCTTTTAATCTCAGCACTTGGGAGGCAGAGGCAGGCAGATCTCTGTGAGTTTGAGGCCAGGCTGGACCAATAGCCTCCAAAACAATGCAAAGAAACCCTGTCTCGTAAAGCCAAAATAATAATAATAATAATAATATGGAGAAACACTGTCTCGAACCCCCCCAAATTAATAGAAGCTTTAAAAACTACACCTAAGAGACATTAAAAATAAATTAAAATGTTAATAAAATATTAAAAAATATTTAGAGGCTATGTCAGAACTAAAGATAACTTCTGATCACATTCTCCTCTCTTTTCTTAATTTTGTTTCTTCCCTCTTAATATTTAGGAGAAAAATTCTATATATAAAAATTATTACAGTTTCTTTTAATATAAATGCTAAAGAAAAAGCATTTTTTGATGTATCAAAAATTCCCAGGACAGAGAGATAGCTCAGCAGATAAGAGCACTGTGTTCTCTTCCAGAGGACCCGGGTTCAATTCCCAGCACCCACGTGGCGCTCACAACTGCCTGCAACTCCAGTCCCTGGGGATCTGACAGCCCCACAGATACACATGCAAGCAAAGCACAAATGCACACAAAACAAAAATAAATTATAAAAAGAACTACCATTTGTAAGGTCACCTTAATTTTGGAAGCTGTGCTCTTATTTTCTCCTTGAGGGGTTTTCTTTCTCTTAGCTCTGGTACTTAAGTCTGTGCTAAAAATATCTTCGTTATACCAGCTAGTCCTAAAATTCCCGCCAGGGTTAAAGCCCCGAATCCCAGTTTGGTTTGTGAGTTGAGGTCCCTACAAGCATAGGAGGACTCCTGGGACTGCTAAAGACAACAATGCATAGTTTGTCTCTTCCCTCACTTCTGGGGATTCTTGCTAGGATCTGTCTTGAAGCACCATCGATGAGTTTGCCTGAGTGCCCTTGGCTGGTCGGCCCTGCTCTGCATGGCTTGGGCATTAGCTGCGGTTCTTTTGCTTTTGTTTTTCTGGCCAGCCAGTGTTTGGTAAAGTGCCCGACACCAAACGTAGAAATCCTCTCCACTCAAACAAGTTTTTGGG